CTGGGCCCAGCCAGGGGCATCGAAGTGGGGACACAGGAGCTGTGCGTTCACTGCTGGAGCCGGAAGCCCAGAGCACAGGAGCCTAGAGAGCCGCAGACGCAGCTTCTGAGGGCACCAGCTCCTGAGGCACCGAGCGCCCAGGTGCAGCCCAGGAGTAAAACAGCACAGGGCCCTCACGGGGCCAGGTCACTCTCAGGGACCCCTGGGATGCCCAGGCGTGGGCAGGGGCTGGGAGCGGTGGGGCTGCCCATCCCTCCTGTACTTCTGGTCCATCCTGTCCCCTTCTGGTCCCTCCTTGTCCCCCCTGGTCCTTCCTGGCCCACCTTCTTGGTCCCTACTAGTCCCCAAGTGCCTTCTCCCAGGGTGAGCATAGAGAACAGCCCCCCACTAGTGTTGAGATCCCCCCAGCAGGTTCTGCCTCCTCCTCTGCCCCACCTCCTGACACCATCTCCAGGGGCCTCGGGGTGAAAGATTTCATGCCTGGGAGACAGACCATAGCAGGATGCTACAGCTGCTTCCCAGTTTTGGTAGCTTGTCCTACTTCCACTGTGTTCATTTTTTTGTTGCTGAGACAAGGTGACCCTTCTGCCTCAGCCTCCCAAGTGCTGGGACTACAGGTGTGCCCCACTATACTCAGCTGTATGATGCTGACTGTGACTGAGAGACAGAAGAATCTGCTTGCTGTCCCAGCATCCTCAGCTCTTCACGGTCAGCATCTGTGTCCCTGGTAGTGATGGCATCCTGGGTCTTGGGGACCCCTCTGTCTGCTGGCTTGGTCATCTCTCAGGTTGCTGCTGTAGAGGCCACCCTGCTCCAGTGCTGTCCTGAAGGCTGGGCTCTCTGGGCTGGTGAGGAGGAGCAGGTACGCACCCTGCCCTCCCACTGGCTGGCCCTGGCTGGGAGGGGAGGATGTGCCCTCACTGGGGCCAGGCTTCCAGCCCTGTTGCTGCCCCGGCCCCCTCCCGCTGGATCTGAGGTGAGGCAGTGACCCCGATGGCAGGGGTGGGGGAGCCGTCTCTCCCAAGCCAGGACAGGGTTGGGGCAAGGTCACACCACCCAGGGCACCAGAGCCCCCACCTCCAAAGTTCCTGCTCCCCAGGGCACATGCCCTGCTGGTCCTGGCCTGGACACTGCTGCTGAGGACCAGTTTCCCCTCACGGCTGGGCCACACTGCAGCCGCTACTGCTTCCTGTGCTGACAGAGCCAGCTCTGCAGAGGATGTAGGGCAGCTGAGGCTTTTTACTCATTCATCTTCTTTCTGCGGTGCTGGGGTCGATCCCAGGGCCTTCACACTGAGCCTGTGCCAGCCTTTTGTATTTTTAGTTTGAAGCTAGGTTTTGGCTAAGTTGCTGAGCTGCTCAGGATGGGCTTGAACTTGTGATCCTCCTGCCTCAGCCTCTTAGAGGATGAGGCTGGGCTGGCAAGGCAGGCAACACTGTGTTGGGGATGCAGGCTTCCTTCCTGCTGATGCCCGCCAGCCCCCAGCCTGCGACTCCCGCTGTCACTTGAGCTCTGTCTTCGCTCAGCCTCTGTGGGGTCTGCACGAAGTGGCAGTCAAGCCTGGAGCCTAGAGCCGCCCTGGCTTCCTTGTGTTAAGAGCTTCTGGCTCTGGGCCCGTCAGCAGTGTCTTGTGTGGTTGCTCAGCAGCTCTGGCTCCTGTGTCCCCTGTGTCACCCATGGTGGCCCCCTGGAGTTGGAGTTTGGTCCCCATCAGCTGCCTGCGTGGTGGTCCCTGGCCTGGCCTGGCCTGGATCTTTCACCCTCCCGCCATGACCAGGCCCTGCAGGCCCTGGATTCCAGTGGAGCCCTCCTCTACCCGCCCTCGCAGGGGTAGGACTGGAGCTGGGGGTGGGGAGCTGCCTGGCGCTGTGTGGCCTGGCCCTGCAGACCTCCTATTGCCTCAGCCTCCCCCTCTGCCCTCTTCAGGGGCCCGGTCCCCTCTCCCTGCTCACACAGGCTTCCTGGTGCTGCGGTCCACATGGCTCCTATGGATGTACTTCCAGCGCCACCGCTTGTGTCTTCCAGAGCCTAAACTCCCAGTGTGGGCTCTGCTTGGATGTGGTTCATGCTTCTCCTTGCCTGGCTCCTGCCTCTGGGGCCTTGTAGGGCGCAGGCACTGTCCCTGACTCCTTTACTTCATGGTGAGCCTACAGCCCATTGGGGTCATCTCATCCAGCTCTCACTTTACGGGGAAGCCGAGTCCGGGGCATCCCAAGGATTCTCTGTGGGGCTCAGGCTCTGGCAGGGGATCAGCACACATGGAGCCAAGTGGAGTTGGGCCCCATGCTGACCCTGCCTGCTGTGGGTGACTGGTGCTGTGCCCGCGGGTACCAGCCTGTCACCAGCACCACAGGATAAAAGTTGGGAGTGTCTGGATTCAGTAACAGAGAAACTTAGAGGTTTCCGCACAAATGCAACGCTGTGCCTGCCCAGCAAAGGCACAGGTCCTGTGCTGGCTTGGGGCTGAGCCACTGTGCAGGGTTTGGCAGGCGGCTGGGCCATCCAGTGTCACCTGCCCAGCTGTTCATGGCTTCAGCTTCTCTGAGGCAGGATTGTCTCGCTCCAGGTCACATGGCCACCCCAAACTCTTCCTGGATGTGGCAAGGTAGTGCCTGGACAAACCAAACCCCAACACACAGCCAGTCCTGCTGATGGGCATCTGGGGAGGGTCTTGAGTTACAAACTGGAACCCCACGCCCCATGGCAGCCATTTGCAATGCAGTCTTCTTCCTGGACACTGGATATGGTTCCATATACCACCAGGATGCCTCTGGCGTGGTTTGTTCGCTCCCTGCCATAGGAGACAGCATTTGTCAGATGCATTCAGTGCTCTCTTGGGGCGAAGTCCCTTTGGGATCTCTGTAGGAAGGGCCCAGTGCTTGGGGGATGCATAACAGAGGGACCCAGGTGCGGGTAGGAAACAGATGAAGAGCTCACTTGCACTGTTGATTGGAGGGGCAGAGACGGTGAGCGAGCAGCTGGGAAGGGTCTTCGCATGGGGCAAGGAACTTAACCTGATGTGTGGCTCTCTGGCCCATGTGCTGAGGCTCAGCTCTCAGGGGTGGCAGGTGGTGGGGACCAGAGAGCAGGCTGGGTCTGGTGGAGAGGTGCAGAGTGCATCCATGGGGGTGCTCTTGAGAATGTCCAGCACCGAGCAGGTTATCGAAGACTCGCCGCTGTACCAGCAGCCACTTTGGCATCTTGGGACTCGGTGGGTGCTGGATTCCCTGCAGGGAGTTCGAGTCTGTCATGGCTGAGTCCTGCCACATTAGTGCTCTGCCCCACTGTGGCCATGTGACCACAGCTCAAAGGCTGAGGCAGGGCCAGGCACAGGGCCTGTGGTGCCCGCCTGGCTTGACGGCTGCCCTGACTGGTGTCCGACTTCCTGCTCCTTCCCTAGAGTAGCACACTGGGCACATGTTTCAGAGCCAAGGGCACAGAGGCTGTTGCCCTTTACTGAGGTCACCAGCAGGCTGGTGGCAGCGGGGCCTTAGAACTGTCCCTGCATACTAGGAGCAAATGCCCTGACTGGTCCTCTAGGAAAAGGACACTTCCTCCCCGCCCTGGAATGGACACTGATAAACAGTGCACTGCCTTGTCTGCCACACTAGGTGTCAGTGCCCCTGAGTCCCCAAGGGGAAATGCCATCCATTTCCAAGGTGACTTTAAGAGTAACAAAGCTGTGACAGTAGCCTTGGAAATGGGGTCAGTGTGTTCTCCATGGGGACCCCAGAGAACTCCTTCCACCATGGGCAGACACAGTGAGAGGCAGGCAGTAACCAGGGAAGACCTTGGACTTCAGCCTCTGGAAGCCAGAGGCACATGTGCGCCGTGGAGCACCAGGCCAGGTCCTGTGTGGCAGCACCACCCCGTCAGGGAATCCTGTGAGTGGGGAGACTGCAGCTGTGCCAGGTGGTGCTCTGGGGCTGGGGCTGGGGAAAGCAGGACAGGTCCAGACTGCATGGAGCACAGGTCCCTGAACACAGGAACAGAGGAGAGCGCTGGCCACCATGGGCCACATGGATGGCTGGGACGCTCAGCCGGAGGGACCTTGGGGTGTTTGAAGCTAATATTGAAGCCACATCCTTGGTGCCGGGGTCCAGTTGTGACTTGGGCTGTTCACAGTCCGCTGGGAATTATTTGGGAGAACTGGCTGGGCTGCCTGGGCAGAGACAGGGCTCCAAACCACTGTGGCTGCTGTCTGGTCAGCCGGAACCCACAAGGTTGGCTGTCGGAGCCTGGAGGGATGCGGGTCCTGACTCAGTCCCTAGTGGCTCTTGGGGACAGGAAGTGGCATCTGCTCTGTGTCCCCTCGCTAGCACGTTTGTGGCCTTGCTCTGCTATCACTAGAGCACTGCTTGCCTGGTGGTGGCTGTGCAGCCAGGTGGTGCTAGCAGGCTGCAACATGAACCTGTCGGCCACAGGCCCCACTGGGCCCTCCTCTAGGACCCCGCAGTGCCCGGCACAAGTTATTTATACTTGGACACATGCTGGCACGATGGCCACCTGAGATTGCCGTGTGTTCAGATGTGGTGCACGGCTTCGGTAATGACTAAAAATAAGCCCCGGCGTGCCAAGCAGGCAGGCTGTGCTCTGGCAAAGTTAGCCCAGGGTAGAATCAAGTGTAAACTGGGTGGCTCCCGAGCACACACAGCACACATGTGCATGCACACACACACACACAGAGCCCACAGGGCTGCCAGTCCCCTGGCCTGGGACCCACGGAGATGCCCAGCTGACAGGTGGTGCCTGGGCTTGTGGCCCTTGGAGGCCCTGACAGCCATTCTCCCCGACAGCACTTTATTATATGCAGGAGCTGGCAGCAAGAGCAGGCTGGAAATGCATCTGAGCCCTGGTATGTGAAGCTGGGAATGTGGAGGAGCAGGGCGAGGGTCCCCTGTTCCCTGGTAATGGACATGGGGACTCAAAAGAGAACTATTTGATCCCCCCTCACATCTGACGATTCCTCCGGGGAGCAGTGGGTGATTTATTAGGAGGCAGGTATCAGTTGGCAGAGGCAGGCCCACAGCCTAAATATAGCCTCTCCTGGCCATAAATGGGGGCAGCCACACTCACGGGAAGAAATTAGCTCGGCTGTCCTCAGCCAGTGCCACGCTCTCCTGTGCCTCTCCGCCCTCCGGTGAGTGTCTATTCCCCGTCTGCTCATGAGTGGCTCTGGGCAGGGATTTCAGGTGCAGACTCAGGGCACTGGGTTTCCATGCAGAACCCCCTGGACCCGCAGGTTCAGCAGCAGCGCTGGGTCCTCAGGACTGCAGGCTCCTGGGCGTGCTCTGTGCTTGGCAGCCCTGTCCACTGTGCTGACCCTAACTTGCCTGCGGAGAAGCTGGTCTTCCCCGAGTTCGCAGTCCTGTCCTAGATCAGCTGGCTGATTCCTGTGATTGTCATGAGGGTCTCCGAAATGATAGAGAAGAGGGAAATGGGAAAGGAATCAAACAAAAAGTGGGGTGTTTTCTTGAGGGAATAAGGAAAGGTCAGTTAGCTTGGATGCAGGGGTGGAGAAAGCAGTGACGCTTCCTGGGGGACAGTAACCTTCTTCCTGCAGAGGTCAGAACTTCCCATGTCACTTTCTACCCTGAGACCAGGGGCCATGAAGGGGAGAGGCCGAGGTGGGAGCCCCTCTTCTTCCTGCCCCGCCCCTGGAGAAGTGAGCAGACTTTAAAGATGACTCAGTAGCTGGGCTCAGGAGATGAATCCCAGCTGGGCTCTAGGGCTTGGGCACTGGGTCCCGGCCATGCCATGTGTCACTCGCCCTGTCCCCTGCAGAGCTGCTCGGGCTCCCTGAGCTAGCCAACATCTTGCTGTGGGGCAGCGGGCGCAGCCGGCAAAGAGCAGGGTGAGATATGGAGTGCTCTGAGGAAGGTTAGGGTGCTGTGCCTGCAGGGGTTTGCAAGAGGCAGAGCCCCTCGCCTGTCCTCTGTGCTTTATGCAAACCAGGGACAATGGAGGTATAGTGCCAGGCAACTTAGGGTCTCTGAGAGCTGTTGCTTCAGGTCTCCATCTGGGGCCACACATGGGTCTTGGACAGTCGGACACCTGCAGGTTGGGGGCTGTGCCTTCCTGGCATCAGGAGAAAGGAGTCAGGCGTCCCAGGAGTAAGAGCCCTAGTCACGCTGTCACAGCTCTCCAAGGTTACTGGGTGAACTGGGAACTTAGCGGCAGGGATTAGACCTGGGGCGTCTTACCCGGTCTTAGGGCTCCTTCTGTGCCATGGTTATTTTGGGATCAGTGGTTACTTTGGTGATAAGTCATTTGGAAAATCCTCTGGGCCAAGCAGATCCTGTGGCCGTGCTGCCAGAGTTCAGCTGGGCCCCTCTGTGCCAGCTCGCCCTGCCCAGGCCCATGGTTCTGGTGCCAGGTGTCTGTCTGCTGGACATTTGAGTTGCACAAACAGCTTTCTCCTTGCATTAAGTGGAGAAAATGCTTTGAGATTGGATTGTCTTTGCAAGTGACAGTCATGCTTTGGGATACAAAAGCAGAGTCCTCAGGGCTGTCCGAGGAGGGACTTGGGGAGGACACACAGATGCATGGCCCCTGTGCAGGAAGAGGCTCCCATTTCAGGGTGGTGTCAGCATTCCCAAGCATGTCAGGAGTTCTGGGCGCGGCCCCAGAGCCAGAAGCTGGCGGGAGTGTCAAGGACCCTGGCGCCTGCTCTGCAGGGGCCTAGGCACCAGGTGGGCGGAGTGCATTCCTCTGGCCATTGGGACCCCACAAGCTGCTGCTCCCTGGTCTGATGTGAGAAAAACAGCAGCAAATAGAGCCCCAAGTGCGGTGGGGCCTGGCCACGGATCCTGAGCATCCGCATGTCTCCATGGTTTCATACCCAGGGTCTCTGTGAGAGCCTGCGCTTCGAGGAGAGCCTAGCCCTCATGTTTTGGGGGATCCTGTTTATCAGATTAGCCCATCTGAGCCAGAGTTCTTAGAAAGGAAAGGAGCTTTCTAGGTAGAGTCCAGGGACACCTGGACTTTCTGGTGCCACATGTGCTGCAGGGATTCAGCTTCCACAGGTTGCAGCCAGTAGGGATGCTATATGCTTCCAGAAAGTTCCAGAGGGTCCCAGAAGATCTAGGAAAGCCCCTCCTGGCAGAGACAGGAGTAGGCATTGGTGGCAGATGACAGAGTCTGGTTGGACTAGATACAGGTGCAGGTCTTAGGAGGCAGGGGGAGCCGAGGACACCTTGGACCTGTGTCACATGCATGGCTGAGCTCCAGGATGTACCTCTAACTTCCCCTGGCTCCTGGTGCAGGTGTGTGGCCCATCGCTGGTGCTCCAGGTGATGGTGGGCTGCAGTAAGTGATGGTGGGCTCCACTAAGTGGGCTCCACTGAGGGGTGACCACGAAGCTCTGCTTTGCTGGCCCTGAGTGTATTTTACTCAGGAGCAGAGAAAGCTCTGGACTTAATGTGCTGTCCTCTCCTCCATGGTGTCAGGGCAAGGAGCACTGGACATGGGTGCCAGTGACCTGCACACCTCACTGTCACCATGAAGCTGTGAAGCTCCTGTGTCTCCCAGGCAGGGGCTAGGGGCTCCCAGAAACCCAGAGAGGTCAGGCCACATTACTGAGATTCCTAGTGCCGATTTCGAGGGGCGTAGCGGCGGGGGCGGGGGGGGGGGAGTTTGAGGCCAGTGCCAGTGGGGAGCGGGTGGGGGGCTGAGGACTGAGCCATTCACAGCTGAGCAAGAGCGCAGATCTGGTCATGTGTGATGCCCCACTGGGCACTTCTGCTCCCTGTGCCCGAGTCCATGAAGATGCAAGGGAGAGACACACAGTACCACACACCTCTGTGGTGTCACCACCATCCACAAAGCCCAGCATGAGGTCTTGGGGACCCTGAGCTTGGAAGAAAAGCACATCCTGGCTTTGTTGACACCCATGGATGCCGAGGCATCAGGTGTAGATGTGCCTGGGAGACCATGGGCTCCTGGGAGAACCCCACTGGGACGCAGTGGGATGTTTCTCACAGGAAAGTGATGCACATAATTTTTCATTGTTAACTTCTATTACTATGTGTCTGTGTATGTGAAAATCACATTCTCTTTCCACCTCCTTTCCAGACTCCTCCCTCCGTCTCTTGACGTCTTGGCAGCTGAAAAAACGTACATACTTTCTACTATCTTTTACTTTGTTCTTTATTTATATCTTGCATTTCTAATACCAGAGAAACCACGCAATATTTAAATTCGTGTGTCTGGGGTATTTCACTGAGCATCATGGTCTCAAAGTGCCTCCATTTGCCTACAAATGACTCACGCTTTCCTTCCTTACGCTGTGGTAGTGCTCCACTGTGTGTAAGTACCCCATTTCCCTTGTCCACCCATCTATTGATGGGCATTTAGGCCACTTTCAAGACTTAGCTCTTACGAGTTGTGCTGATATAAACATGGGTGTGTGTGGATCACTGTTAAAGGTGACTTTAACTCTTGCTGGAAGATTCCCAGAAGGGGAATAGCTGTGTTGATTAGAATTTCTAGTTTTAATTTTTTGAGGAATCTCAAGTTGATGTCCATAGTGGTCACATTAGTTTATACACCCCTGCTGACAGGGACACGGCCTTTTACCTCCCACAGCTCTGCCAACCTTGTTATCCCATTTCTTTCTTTGGTACTGAATTCCTTTTTGTGCTGTTTTTGGTTTCTTGATGGTGGCCATGTTACACTGGAGTATGATGGAATCTCAGTGTGGTTTTAATTTGTATTTACCGAATGGCCAGTGTTAGTGACATTTTTCACGTATTTATTGGGCATTTGTCCTTCTGAGAAGTGTCTCTTCATTTCAGTTCTTGTTTTTTCTCTAGGTCTGTCATTTGTGGGGGTCTCTTTTTTTGAATTCTTTACATATCCTAGGTGTTAGTCTCTGTCCAGGGGGTAGGTGCCAGAGTTTTCCCATCTGGTAGGTTGGTTGTTTCTTTGGCTGTGCAGAAGTTTTTAATTTTATGTGATACCAGCTGATGCTTTGCAATGTTATTTCCTGTGCACCTGGGGTTCTGTCCGTGTCTCCACCTACGTCTTCAGGAGTTTTACGTTTCACCTTCCTGAAGATGAAGTGCTTCTGTTTCTGTGATTTAGTACCTGGAGGAGATGTGGAGTTGGGTTTAATCTTCCACGTGTGTGGAAAGCCAGTTTCCCCAGCACCGTTTATTGAAGAGGTGATCTTTCCTCCAGCGCACACTTTTCGGCCCCTTTGTCGGAGATCACTAATGCTTGGGGTTGGTTCTGCTTCTGCTATTCCGTGCCTTTGATCCTTAAGGCTGTGCCAGGTCCAGCTCCATGCTTTTTTTTTTTTTTTTTTTTCTTTAAATCAGTGTAGTGTTGTAAAATAGCTTCAAATGATAAACTCCTGCTGTGATGCCTCCTGCTTTGCTTTTACTGCTTGTGATTGCTTTTTTTTTTTTTTGGTACCAGGGTTCTAACTCACAACTTAGCACTTGCCAGGCAGACGCTTATGCCACTGAGCTAACTCCCCTTCCTGGGACTGCTTTTGTTGTTCAGGTGTCTTCTGGTCCCACAGGGATTTTAGGGTTGTTTTCTCTGGATTTGTGAGGAATGTTGTTGGGATTTTGAATCTGTAGAGCAGTTTTGGGAGAACAGCCATTTTGAGCATATCATTCTGCCTCTCCAAGGATGTGGGCTGTCTTCCTGACAGATTTTTTCAGAACCCTTCCCCTGTGGGCAGAATCCGAGGTGATGATGACTGATCAAGACAACCAGCATGCTCCACTGTGATGGTGCTGAGCCTGGCATTGGCCCCACAGATCTGATGGGGTATCTTAGAGCTGGACAAGGCCACTCCATGGTGCTTGGGTCGTTTAGACTCCAGGTCCCTTGGCTGTGAACCAGGGCTCTGGGTCTCTGTCTTCTCCTTCACACATCTAGGGGCTGAGTGGCATGGGGGAGGGCTCTGCCGTGTCCCACGACGGGCCACCTCCCATGGGGTGTTTGTCATCAAGTGTGCCCAGACCTTCTGTGCAGGAGGTGATTGGACAGAAGCTGAGTTTTAGGGGGAGACTAAGACCCTGCAGCAGGCGCCTGAGGACTTCAGGTCCCTCATGCGTGCCCGAGTGCTTGGTGCCTGTCTTTTGCTTCTACCTGGTAAGAAGGGGCCTGGGTGGTCACTAAGCATCTCTCTAGGATCTGCCCCTCAACATCCTCAGAGGTCAGAGTCTAAAGGAAGTTAGCTGTGCGGTGTACCCTTCCAGATTTCTCACACACTCCCTGTGGGGCCAAGCCACAGAGACAGTGGAAATGGAGATGGCTCCTCCCAGAGGCCCTTGCGAACCTCCTCTCCTGAGCATCCATCCCCCTGCCTTCAATCTGAGCGGTGGCCCTGGCTGTTGCTTGTTTAGAGCAGAGCAGATTATTCTTACACATGAAAGACATACGTGGAGCTCAGGCTTGGAGAAACTCTTTCGGGGTTTTCTTGGAAATTAATGATCGCAGAGACTTTCTCACGGCTGGGTCCTCACTGTGGTGAAGGCTTGGCCTCCTCCTGATGGGATCTGAGGAGGTGAACAGGTCACAAGGCCCTGACTTCACCGAGTGGGTTAATCCGAGTGCAGAGCTTGATGGGCTGACTGGAAGGTGAGGCAAACTGAATGAGGTTGGGTCACTGGTGCCTTTTTTTTTTTAAGGGTACAAGTAATATAAAATTTAAAAAATAAACAGTAAGAAATTACTAGTTAATAGATTTCATATTCTCATCTTAGAAATAGTTGTTCAAGTTACAAAATTGAAGCACATAAAGTGGACTTTCAAACAGTGAGAGTGCAAACAGTTTTGTTCAGTGACCCAAAAGACAGTAATATGGTTATCTATCTTATACACTTAAACATATATGCAGTTATAACCTTTAGAACACTTTCTTTCTTTTTTTTTTTTTTTTTTTTACAAAATGACAATTACACATTTTGGGTTTTATTATTCTCACAGTTCTTATTACTTTTTTTGAAGAGAGTAAAACCAAATGCGACATATCAGAACAGAGTCAGTCAAATCAAAAGGGTGGACATAATAGATAATGTAAAAACCATCAAAATATAAGGTGATCAACAATGGTTACCATACTGCCTCTTGCCTTTGAATGGTGGGTCTGGTCCCTGCCCCTTTCTCTCTGGCTCTTCCTCTTCTCAGCTTCTCAGCCACTGTGCGGTGGGTGAGCGTCCTTCCTCCAGCAGGCCTTTCACTGTGTAGGTCTGGGATCCGACTGACCCTGGCCTGAAGCCTCTGTAACCATGAGCCCAAACCAGTCTTTCCTTCTTTAAATTGAGTATGTCAGGTACTGCTCAGAGCAGTGGAAGTGTGACACACCTAGGAATGCAGCTTTGTGAGGCTTTGTGGAGGCCATTCAGTCCACTGGGGTTTTATTTATTCAGTGTGAACACATGCAAGAGAGAGCCAAACCCCAGCCCAAAAAGGACGGGCCTAGCCTGGCCTCGCAGTGTCTTGTTTGGGGAATCTTACCCAAATGTCACCTTTCCCCATACCCTGGAGCCTTCCATGCTGGCTCAGTCCTTGTCGTCTCCTCAGCTCAGCCACCAGGTTCACCTGATTTCAGCAAAGCAGACCTGGAGGTGCTGGGAAACTGAGTCTTTCTCAAGGCCCTTGAGGTGACCTCAGCGCCTCCTTCGGAGACGCCTTCCCAGAGTAGCTTTCTGATGCCTGGCCGTGTAACCCGAGGCCCTGCGCTTGTCCACCCTGCCCACTGTCCAAGGGTTGGCTGCTGCTGGCCTCCCTGCTGCCCCCTCCTCTCCTTCCCAGGGTATTTTTCCTTCTCCTCGTGCCTATGGCTGTCATCTTACCTCCTCTTGTGTTCCAGGCCTTTGTTTATTTCTCTAATCTGTTTTCATTATTTTTAGCCTCCCTGGTAAAGTTGGTTTTCCATGGCCCTCGACATACCTGGAATTCTGTAAATGTTTAGCTCCCAGTTAACGAAACATAGGACTCAGTATTGTAGTTGTTATGAAGTAAACATGAATGAAATCATGGCTCAGGGCTGTTAGCCTAGGACAATTCCCACCTGTGGAGTTTTTCTTTCATCCCCACCTACTCCGGTGGGTTTTCCCCCTGAGAGTGATGCCCCTGTGAATCTAGCGGTGGCCTGGGGTGCCCTCCATGCATGGTCCTCACCTGGCTTCCTTCTGTCTTCAGAGCCCTCGACATGTACCTGGTGGCCCTGCCCTTCTACCAGAAGAGACACAAGCACTTCGACCAGTCGTACCGTCACATTCAAACCAGGTACCTGCTGGACGAATATGCATCCAAAAAGTAAGTTGACACCACGACTGGACTCCTTGTGTTCTGGTCTGGGGCTGGCATTTAAAGGCAGGAACTCCCCTTCCAGGCCCTGGAGAGGGGCAGCTTTGTCCCTCCAGGCCCTCCAGGTGCTGCAGGCCTGGCCGTGGCCACTGGGTCCTGAACAGGATCCTCAGCAGAGCTCACTGGCTCTGCTCTTCCTCACATGCCTCTGGCTGCCGGGTCTAGAGAGTCATCCAGAGTCAAGGGTGGTGAGGAGGAAAGCACTGGGGCTGTTAGTAGGGAGAGGCTGCTAGGGGCAACACGAGATGAGGGGACGTCCACCGGCAGAGCAGTTTCGCCACCTTGCTTGTAGGGGTGATGCCTTGATGACAGCCCGGTGTGTTTGGGGTTTAATGGGATGATCATGATTCGGAGGCCGTGAGTGGGAAGGGAGGGCCCCTCCTGGCAGGGAGTGCCCAGCAGAAGGTGCCTGCCACATGTCACCAGCACTCGCCCTATATTTAGAGGCACTCGTGGCACTCTTATTTAGTTGTCATCCTTGCAACAAACACAGCCAAACACTTGCAGCCCCCCAGCAGAGTGGGGGGCCCCATCCCTTGGGATATATTTACTTGTGGCTGTGAGCCAGGACAACTGTGTGGGCAGTGGCTGTGGAGGGAGGAGACAGCAGGAGCCCAGCGGAGCCACCGAGCACAGGGACCCTGCCTGGGCAAGGATGGCAGGATGTACCGGAACGCAGGCTGGGGCTTGTGCGTGCTGGGTGTGTGAGTGTGTGTGTGCATGTGTATGGTGTGTACTAGTGGGTGTATATCAGCGTGCAGGAGCATGTGTATGATGTGCACATGTGTGGGCACACCTGTGGGCATGTGTATCCATGTTGTGTCTTGGTGTGTGTGTACACATGTTTACATGTGCATAGACATGTGTCAGCCATGTATGTGCCTGTGTCCATCCATGTGTATACCTGAGGGCATGTGTATGCATCATGTGGTGTGCTACATGTACACACCTGTGCATGTGGAGGTGGTTGGGCTGTTGGCCAGCGAGCAGTGCTGTCAGATAATTCTCAGTACTGTTCTGGCACCCTGATTACTCCCACCTTGGTCCAGGCGAACGTCCAGCCAGTCCTCTACCCAGAGGGCACTTACACAGATGTCATCTGCGCAGAGAGTGTCCAGCCAGACCTCCACCCAGAGGGCTCTCACACAGACATTGTCTGCACAGAAAGCGTCCAGCCAGACCTCAAGGAGGGCTGCGAGCATGAGCACAGGCGAAAAGCAGCAGGAAGATGAGCACAGGTAACCCCAGTGCTGTCCTGGCTTCTGGCCCGACCCTGACCTCCATGGGGCTGGGAGGCACTGCAAAGGGGACGGCAAATCAGGGAGCACAGGGCCAGGAGACCCCGCCCCATCGTCTTGCACCCTGGCTTTGTTGCTTGGTTGGGGGTGAGTTCCCCACTGATGCCTTCTGCCCTAGGGGCTGCAGCCTGAGGCCCTCAGGCTGGCACTGACCAGAACCCACAGGCCCACTTGTGCTTCCCACAAGTAGATTGTAGCACCAAGCCCGGGGAGGAGGGCTGCATTTCTGCCTAGAGCAGTGGCCCAGGGCTGAGTGTCCCCACAAGGTCACCTTTCTGGAGGGAGCTGGGGCCTGGCCAGTTGTCCTGTGGAAAATGCATGGCTGTAGAGGGTTCTAGAAGCCATCATACTTTGCATTGCAGCAGGGTCAGCTCTGACGGCCAAATGTCATGGGAAAGAGGTGGATTAGCAAAAGCGTCAGTCTTAAAATTATTCCCAGGTGATGAAAGCAGCTGGTGGTACTGCTTTGGGTGCTGAAGAACAAAATAAATAGTTAAACATGTACTTGTTCTCGTCCCCATCTCTACTGTTCCTAGAAATTTTTTTTTTTTGCATAGCTATAAAAGCTGAAGGAAAATGAAATTCGGGCCAACTTGTGTCCTTCTGAAAGTTGCATCATGACAGAGTAATCCATTCAGTGAAACATTTTTTTCTGAAAGTTTAGCCCTCTTTTAAAATACACTTGAATTATCTTTTAAACCTCTTAGCCTACATTTGCCACATAAATATATTTTATTGTGGATAGAAAACTTCCTTTGGTAAATAAACACTTTAAAATGCAGACACTGGGGCTTAGTAGTATAAGGCTTGCCTTGCAAGTGGCAAGGTTGTGAGTTTGATCTCTGGTACAAAACAATACAAAACAAAACAAAACAAACATGCAGACATGAGAACAGTCTGGAACCTAAAAGAGGGTTGTTTTCCAAGGGCTCTCCTCTTGCATTGAAGTTCCCCAGAGGGCTACAGGGAGCTGAGCTGCACCATCTTAGTTCTGTTATTGTGCTTGGTAGTACTGGGATGCAGGGCACACCCCTCCTGTCCCTCGGGGTACAGGGGATGTGGGATGTGGCCAGTGGATGTATGCTAAGGTCAATGGCCGGGGTGGCCATGACTATCACGCAGTTTCAGCAAGGACAACTTTCATGAGAGCCTTTGCTGCCAAGAATCGGAAACCTTCCTAAAACGAGGTTTGCGGTAGTCAATCGGCCTGGGGCCTGGGTGTGAGTCTTGGGGACTGGGCTGGTTTTCAGGATGATGCCCACAGCCCAGCGTGATGCCCGCCACTGTGGGATCTTGGGCTGCTTCAGGACCAGGGTGCCACACAGATTTGCGTGTCTCCCAGCACAGTGTCTCGAAGGCCTCTGCCCTCTGTGAGGATGCCCGTGTAGAGATCTTGTTGGAGGCCAGTGCTGGGGAGGGCGCTGCAGTGTGAAGCAGCGCTGAGTCCTCCCATCTCTGCAGCCTCCTCGCTGCTCACGCACCCATGAAAGGACTGGTTTCCTTTCTGGGCCATGGGTCTCTTGCAAAATAGGAAATTATGGCTCATTGCTCAGATCATCTGAACAGATGTCACTGTGTCCCCACCGCCTCTCATGGCCTCAGGAAGAGCCAGGCCTCCCTGAGCCCTATGCCAGCTGCCACGAGCCCCCACACAGGGCAGCCTCACAGCGGGCTGGTGGTGGCGGGGCAGAGATGCATACTTGATGTGCCCACAGGAGGTGGGGGGAGTTCTAGCTGGATGCTGATTTTGACTGCATCATAGGCTGATGGTGCTGATGCCATGGAGGAGCCCAGGCTCTGGGGTTATGTGCAGCAAGCACACAGCATTGCACTGACCTCTGTGCTTTCCACTGGACAGTTTGCTGGCGAAAGACCTGTGTCCCCCTACTGTTCAGTGGACAGAGGCAGGAGGAGGGCTGGCGCGGTCGACAGCCTCAGGCCAGGTGTCCTTTGTGCAGCACACCTGCCACCCTGTGGGAAGGGGCAGACGGTGGGCATTTTCTCTCACCTGGTTAGGACCCAAAACCGCACGTTGGTGCTGTTGACACTCACGTGTGGACACTCATGAATGTGTCTTGTGCTCTGTGGGGGAAGCGGTGTCAGAGGGAGACCTGGCCTGAGATATAACGTGGAACCTGGGACTGGTACAGTGATCCTGAGGTCCCCAGGCTGGGCAAGCTGCCTGGGCAGGTGCAGGGAGGCCAGGTGTGAGGAGAGTGTCCCAGGTGCAGTCTGGGGCCTGGGGCTGGCAGGGCTGCAGGGCACAGGGAGTGCTGGCTCTGGGATGAGATCTTTGGCTCCCCCAGGCGTGCGAGAATTCCAGGGAGAGGCTGTAGCTTCTGAGTGAATCCAGAGTGCAACAATGCTACAGCATTTCTTGAGTTTTGGCCTTAAACTTCTCCAGTCAGTGCCCAGGTCTTTCTTAGTTTTATTTGTGTCTTAGGCCAGCATTGCCCCACAGTCCTGCCAGGTAGGCTTGGCCAGGGCTCTGGGTGGACCAGGGCCTCTGACCTGGGTGATTTCCTGCCTTGTGGGTGTCCCAGTGCTTGGGGTCCCTCTCCAACTCCCGGCCTTGCAGCGTGGGTGGGCCTGGGGATGGCTGTAGGGCGAGGCCCGAGTGCCAGGCTCTGTGTCCTGCTACCGCCTCCCCAGGCTCCACCCGCTGCTGGCCAGGGCACCTCACATCTTGTGGCGCAGCCCAGCAGGCATTCAGTGGGGCTTAATGGAGTGCCCAGGACTGCAGAGTGGAGAGGGGCTGCCCTTCCTTTTTTAATCACGCTCACAGGGAAAGAAAGGCGCCTTGGCTTCAAAGAGTGGGGTGGGGGCCAGGCCAGCTTTGCAGGAAGTTCATAGCTCTGGTGAGGGAGGTGACAGAGGCACTTTTCCCCGGGATGGCACCCTGTGGGCTGTGGGTAGGCAGCCCAGGCACCCTGGGATTTCGCACAGCCTGGTCCCATGAGTTGGTGGAGGGATGCTGGAGCCCGGTCCTAGAAGCTTGCTTTCTCTTTGGCTCTCTGTCTTTCTGGAATGCAGTTGCATTTCTTCCCTGCCTCCTTTAAAGCTTTGATTCCACTCCGGATTCACTCAGAAGCTACAGCCTCTCCCTGGAATTCTCACATCTGTCACAGCAGACCTGCAGCATCTCTAGCCTGGCAGTGGGGAGGCTGCACCCCCAGAGGGCCCTGCTGCTCACCCTCTGCTGCCTGTGCTCTGATGTTTCCACTGCCCCTCCACCCCTCCTGGCCCAGTGCCCTGTGATCTGGCCAGCATCCGAGCCTCCTCTCACTGCTTCTTGTGTGGCCTGCATCCTGCCATCTTGCTTTCTTGCAAACCAGGGTGGATGGAGGATGATGCAAGGCTTTTTTCTTGCTGCCTTCTTGCGCTTGGGACTGGGGAGGCCCTTGAGGGTCCTCCTGCCCTGGCTCTGTCAGTGGCCTAGCCTGACCAGCTCTCGGCTCCCAGGTACCAGTCCTTGGAGGCGGCCTATGGGGAGGCCAAGCGGCAGCGGTTCCTCAGCGAGCTGGCACAGCTGGAGCAGGACGTGCACCTGGTCCGGTCCCATGCGCGTGACACGCTGGACAAGTACACCCTGCAGAAGACGGTAGGGGCTCAAGAGCAGATCCTGGGGTCCCCAGGCAGGTGGCAGCGCCCTGACCACACACTTCTCACTTCCTGGAGACCAGGTGGAGGACCAGATGGCCTGGGAGAGGCATGTGTTCGAGGAGCGCATGAGCCGGGCGCCTGAGATCCTGGTGCGGCTGCGGTCACACACCGTCTGGGAGAAGATGTCTGTGCAGCTGTGCTTCACCGTGCAGGGGTTCCCCACACCCGTGGTGCAGTGGTGAGTGGCACAGTGGGGTCCATGGGGGCACGGGTCTCCAACCTGCTTTGTGGGAGGCTTGTGAGTTCAGTCCAGCCCACACCACTTAGGGACTTAGTGAGACTTTGTCTTAAAGTACAATAAATAAATAAATAAAAATGAAAAAGGGCTGGGAGTGTAGCTCAGCACTAAAGCCCTGTGTTCAATCACATGTGCATGCACACACACACACACACACACACACACACACACACACACACAGAGTTCACAGAAGGTCCATTTAAATAATGTGCTGGAATTTGAAGTTGAATTGCTGATCCAGCCGAGATTTCTGAACTCCTTCTGTGAAGTTAGGTCCAGAGGTACCCTGTGCCTGCGCCCAGGCCCCCAACCCTGCACTGGCTCATGCTGGTCCCAGGCAGACTCGGAGCAGAGCTGTGTGTTCCCTTCCCACCTCGAGAGGAGTAGGGGTGGCTCAGGAAGTGCTCACAGGTCCTAGGGACCCTGCCTGGTCAGCAGTCATCCTGGGTCAGGGGATCGTGCATGATCATTTGGCCTGAGGGGAGCTGTCCACTCACCCAGGAGTCAGGTCCTGCTCTCTGGGGAGGCAGACTTGGGCAGCCTGGGTGCTGCCAATCATGCATGTGCTCCAAGCCCTGTGGATAGGACCCAGCCAGAGCCACTGGCCTTTTCACAGAAACAGACCAGCTCCCAACTTTTGGCCAGCATCACACAAAAGCTGCCGGGTCCTCTGAAGGCAAGGGCTGCCCAGGTTGCACCTCAGCCTGCATGGTCTCTGCTCCAGTGAGCAGAGCCACAACCTCTGCTGGCTCTGGTCCACACCCGGTGGGAGGCATGGGCGGCAGCTTAGGGAGGGTTGAAGGAGGCAGGGACACCAGGAGGACACCACGCTGTCTCCCTCGCCAGGTACAAGGACGGCAACCTGATCTGCCAGGCCAGTGAGCCCGGCAAGTACCTCATTGAGAGCAAGTATGGTGTGCACACGCTGCAGATCAACAGGTGAGGATGGCAGTGCTCGAGCATGTGTGGAGCACACGTGGAGTACATGTGTATGGGCCCAACCTAGCCACCCACGTGCAGGGTCTACAAACATCAAACCAGAAAGATGCCCATGGGGCTTCCAGGTGTCTGAGCCAATACGGGGGAGGGAAGGAGCCCTGTTCCCCATGGTGTCTGCAGAGGGATGTGGATTTCTGGAAAGCACAGGGGCAACCAGTGGTGTAAGGAGCACCCTGGAGGCTGGGGCTACGACCACGCCTGATGGGTTGGAAGGCATCTGTTGACGTGCACAGCTGCCCAGCCAGGTGCTCAGAGGAGCTCTGCCTTTTCCTCTGTTTCGTAACACCGACACCCCAGCCTGGGTCCCTTCTGCAGCAGGCTCTCCTCAGTGGTAGCCTTCACCCCCGAAGGACTGCTGAGGGGTGAGACTGCCCAGGCTCAAGCCTGGTCCTCTGGGTTAAGCTGCTTTCTCTAGAGGTGCATCAGGCCTGGCCCCTGCCCTGGGACAACTGCAAGCTGGGCACAGCTCCAGGCAGCAGACAGACCTGAGTGGGGTGCCAGGCTGGGCCTGGCCACAGGTGGTGCTGAGCAGTGAGCTGGGGCTTGTCACTGGTCATGTGTCCTCTGGGCAGGGCTGAGAGCTGGCTGGGCCGTGGGTATGGACACTTAGGTTAGGGAGCCCATGATGGGCTCTGAGAGGTGCATGAGTTTCCAGGGAGCTCAGAGCTGGGGCCCCCAGGCCACCCAAGGGACATCAGAGGCAGCAGGGAACAGACCGCGTTTCCCTTGAAGGTGTTACTCTGGACCCAGGCACAGGAGGCTCTGTGGTAGAGCCGGGCTCCTGGGCAGATGGTGGTCTTACTGCTCTCCACTCTCTGGGATGGTGTCAGTGGGTCTGTGGGGACCCTGCCTCTGCTGGCAGCCTGTACCAGACTCCTCTCTGGGCTGGTGTGGATGGTATCTCCGTGAGCAGACACCCAGCTTCCAGGCTGCGTTTTGAACAGAAGACAGTCTCCTTCTATTGGGCAGGAGAAGTCACAGTTGCCCACACTGGCAGCCTCAAACTTTCCCTTGGGAGCAAGTGGGCTTTGTGCAGAGGCCAGGACTAAGCTGGGTAATAATCAGCATAGGCTGGGTTTTGTACAAATGCGCCACCGCTTAGAAATGTGGGCAGAGCCCTTCCCGAGATCCACTTATCGCCCAGTCTTCTTATTCCAACTGGGACATTTTTAGCAGATGAATTCTCCAGGAAAAGAGCAAGGAGAGCACAGCTGATCGCTGGCCTCAGCTGTCCGTTCCAAAGCGCTGAGCTCGCGCCATCCGACCCGGCACCTTCGGGTGTGGAATGCATGCTCCCCTCTCCCTGCAGCCCCAGCTGTGGAGTGGGATGACGTTTGCTCCTATGAATATTCTTTGGCCCCTGCAGAAGTGTCTTAAAGTGCTGAACAGCACACCCACCCTTTGAGCCACTGAGTCAGGACTCGGCATTGGTGCTGTTTCATCCGCTCCTTGGACTTTCTTTGGGGACTCATATTGTGGGTCCCATTTCTTCGAGGAATTCTAACGTTGTCCTCCTATTTTTATAGCCCAGTTTAAACACCATGTTAGCAACCATGCCATCCCTCATCCTGCCAGGGTGCTATGGAGACTCAACTTATCATGTATTTTATTTTTAGAATTTGATGTTTGCATTTTGATTTGTGTAAATTCTGAGTCCAGCGTCAAATACTGGTCATCTTTCTGGGTATCATGTTCTTTTAAACATGAAATAGCATTAGTTCTCGAGGCGGTGGGTGCGTCACATGGAGGCCTTAGAGAGCAAAAGTATCCCCGTGGAAGCCCATGAAAACGGAAACCAGGAAAGTTGTCCATTCCAGGACAAGGTCCAGGCAGAAGCCAAAGCCCTTGCAGGTCCTGCAGTGTGAAGTCAAGGCTGGGGTCAGGCCAGGCTTGCTCAGAGATTTCTGTGTTGTGGCCTTAGAGGGAGCAGGGCCAGGTGCCCCGTGTGGGGAGGTGCCAGTCAGAGTCCCCTCGGTGTGGTGAGGGAGGGGTCAGGGCACACTGGGCACAGGGCCTGCCGGGGTCAGGGCTGCCATGGACAGGCCTGTGGGCGGACTCCCCACGGCAGCTGCCTCCCAGGACATGAGCCTGTGTGTGCCTGTGCTTCCATTCGGCTCGCACAGGGCATCTCTTAGCAGGGGGTGATGGAAGCCTCGCCAGGTGAAGCAGCCACATCGAGGCCCCACCCTACCCCTGCCCCAGGGACCTGGCCTTCAGCAGCAGCTTTCGTTTTTATGGTCCAGGCCTCCTTGCCACCTGAGTGGGCTGTGGCCCTGTGCTCTGAGTATTTCCCAGGGCTCACCCTCTTCTGCCTGTGCTCCGAGTGCTAACAGGCTACTTTACGGGGCCAAGCAGTGCTCATGTCTCAGGCAGCTCTGCCCCATCTCAGGCCAGGCTGATGCATGCACACAGTCCAGTCTCTGTGGGGACCAGCTTGGTCACCTACAGGTCCCCCGCCTGTCCTATGGATTTTATTCCTACTGACCAGTGTTGGGAGAATCCTGATGCACAAAGATGAGTATCTGCAGACAGAAGCAGGCTCACCTTGAAACCTCAGGTCATTAGCTGAGCAGAAGAGGCACAGATTTGCTCCAGGTCCAGGCGTGAACCATGTGGCGGTACAAAAGTTGTATTATTGAGCTTTGATGTGCAGCAAGATTATGAACCTTTAAGTGTAGACTTTTACTGTGGTTTAAAAAAATTGTTAAAATACACATTGGAGCAGAAAGTTGCAGCATGCTGGAGAGACTTGTAACTTGACAACTCTGTAGCACAGCTTGGAAACGGTTACACCAGGGGCTGGACTGAAGTGTTACTGCTAAGGTCTGGATGACCCTGGCGCGCTCCCTTGCTGTCCGTGGACAGCTCCTCAGGGATGCATGATGCTCATGTAGCATTCTCTCCCCACTCAGGATGTGGGCAGCCCCCTGCAGTTGGCCAGCAGCCTTCTTCGAGTCCTGCTGGAGCCCTGACTTGCTATGTCAGAGCCTGGATTGTGCCTCTGGTTGACTCTGCATGCCTGCAGGTCAGGAGAGGTGGCTTGAGCAGTTGTGGGAAGCCGTGTGGCTTCCTGGACTTTCAGTGGGGCCTGTGTTGTCTCTAGTCTCACCATCACAACTGTCTGTTACAGGTGCAGGGTAGGAGTGGAGCGGAGGAAGGGTAGGGCTGGTCCCAGGAGAGGATCACCCCAGAGGCCAGCACGTGGCAGTGGGGTGGTGTCCACATCTTGGTGTGTTAGCGAGGTACATATGCACTGGCACCCTGCCACTGGAGTGTGGGGCCCCTGCAGTACCTGGAAATCCCATAACACAGTGGTTCCAAATGAACTTGGGCCAGAGTGACTGCCAGGGTCTGTCCTCTTGCAGAATGGCCTGGGGACGGTGTGCAGGGTATGTCAGTGCTCACAGATAGGCTGCTGAGTGACCTCTCCTGAGTAAGGGCCTAAGAAGGAGGAGGTACTACCTGAGCCAGGCTTGATGGTGCATAGCTGTAATCCTAGCTCTTGGGGAAGCTGAGGCAGGAGGAACCCAGCCTAACTTAGCTACTTAATGAGACTCAGTCTCAAAATAAAAGGTAAAAAGATATGAATGCCCGGATTCTATTCCAGCAAACACACACATGCATGTGCACAAACATACATGCACACACACTCTCACAAAAGCTGGGTTTGAGCTTCCAGAAGAGAGGAAGGAGTCTGAGCAGAGAGCACAGGTCTGAAACTCTTCCTGTTATTGGAGATACTGAATATCTTGGTCAAAGACACATTTTCAGCTCCTGGAGAAATAGAAAATAAAAATACAAATGGCCTCCAAGCAATGGGTTTTGTCTCTAAGGGCTTTGACTTTTTAAAGTAAGGCTCAGGTAAGCCTTTTCTGATCTCAGAAGTGGGCTTTTTTGGTTTTACTTCTCCCAGTTAGGAGCTCATGGCATTGCTTGGTGGAAAGAAGACAGCTCCCGAGCCTTCCCCGGGGCCACTTTCTAAGTCTCCCTTTAGTCAGACAGCAGCGCCTCTCACCCAGGCTCCAGCTCACATGGCTCTCTCCAGGGCTCCCAGGGAGCAGGGCCAGTTGTTCCCCGCTGTGGGATGGGTATTGGGGGGATGAGTGGACTCAGTCCTTGCCATTTTCAGGTCATGGTCCTGATGCCACGACACATGCCAGGCTGTCCTACTCGGGGGTTGTAGTACTGAGGTTCACAATTGCGTGAGGTGGGGCCCTGGTGAGACAAGTGGCTCTTCCTGTTCACATCTGGATGCTCGAGGGTCCTCAGCCACCCTTGTGGACACAGCTCCAGTTTCTTTCTGGGGCCCATTCAGAGTGACCATCCCAGAGGCTTTAGGGACAGAGATGGTCACAAGCATGGCCTGCCGTGATGGGCACACAGCACGGCTGGGGAGAGGACCCCAACCCAATGCAGCTCCTGGGCCACCTGGGGTGCAGCAGGGCTCTGGGACCTGGCAGGTCTGGGTTCCTCTGTGATGACCCCTTGTTCCTGACACAGATGACTGCTGGGGGTGGCAGTCACCAAGCTACCACGTCACAAGAAAACCTGTAAATGTGTGGAGGTAGGGAAGCAGGGCTGGCATGGCCTGGACTTGTTGTTGTCACGTACAGGGTCTGGTAGTGCTCGTGCCTTTTTTTTTTCTGAAAGCCGAAGCCTGGCTGAGGCCTAGGCTCTCACTCACCATGTCTGTAATTAATATCTCTCGTGCTGCTGTTCCAAGCACAACTGGCATTGTCTTTGAGCTCGGCATTCATGCTAGCCTCCAGGTCAGCCTGTGTGCTTTCCAGGACACAGCGTTATGTCAGAACTGAGCAGTTCCCAGGGCCACCCACAGACATGACTTTACTTTTTCTCTCCAAGGGCGGACTTTGACGACACAGCCACCTACTCCGCGGTGGCCACGAACATCCATGGACAGGTGTCCACCAACGCTGCGGTGGTGGTGAAAAGTGCGTGAAGCTCTGGGCGGCTGGGGTCGGGGGATCCCAGGCAGCCTCCTGTGTCTCTCTCCACATTCACCCAATATCCTGCAGGGTTCCGTGGGGAGGAGGAGCCTTTCCACTCCGTGGGACTCCCCATTGGGTGTAAGTACGACTTGGTGTTCTTTTTATCCAGAAAGGCATTTAGCGGCGTAGCACGCAGTGCAAGGTGTTACTTTCTAGGCTCAATTGTTTGTTAAAGCTTACCTTTGGAAGCTCCTTTGGGTCTTCCCTGGCCAGTGTTAGAGCGGGACTGTTTATTCCTGTGCCATTCTGCAGCAAGGTGGAAAAGCAAAGTGAGCCCAAATCCTCCAGTGCATCATGATGACATGTCTCACACCTAAGGGCCTCCTCCTCCCCAGAAGTCCCTTGTCATTCAGAGAGCAAGTAGCTCCTAGAGCTGGCCCTGCACCCGTGTTTGACAGTTTATCCTGTGGGAGTCCTGGTCCTGCCTCCTCTTCTCTGTCCTCGTCCTCCTGTACCTGCACTGCCTGCAGAGCCATCATCTGCCGACACCCACCCTGCTGTGACCCGTCCCAGGCTGGCTGGCTCATGCCCAAGACCCCAGGAGTGGACCCAGGCTCCAGGGCTTGTTTACGATTTGGGGATGAGATTTAGGGCTGACCCTGGGTTCTGAGAGGAGTCCTGCCTCCCGAGGATGCTTTGCTGGAGGCTTCACATTGTAAACCGAGTGTGGTAAACCAGGAACTGGATGCTTACTACCCTTCAGGCTGATCCTACCTGGAGGCTGGGGGGTGCTGTGGGCAGGGTTCACATTTGATCACTTCCATGTGTGTTTATCACCGGGGCACCCAAGTTCACCAAGGCCCTGGACGGAAGCTCCAGGACAACACTGGAGGTCTGAGGAGTCCTTGTGGGTCTGGGCCTCACAGTTTGAGGATAGCAGGGCTGTACCTGTGTGCCCAAGAAGTGGGGCCCTCCTGCCACTCCCCTGGCTTCTTCTACCCCCTCTGGTTTTATCCAAGTGGGGCCTTGGGTTATTTAGAGTGGTCACAACACACTTACTGTCATGATTGCAGGTGACCATGGGTCATGTCTTCACCACCATTTTTAACAAACATAGATCCTCTGGGTTTCACTTCAGTTTCTTTAAAAAATCAAAGTCTGTTGCCTACAGCACAAATCCGACAGCTGAGCTTCCCATATTTCTGGAGAACTGTACTGTCCTGGATGGGAAGGCCCCTGCCTGGACTGCTCCTCCTGGTGGGCTGTCCTGTCCTGAGGTGTGCTGGCCGCCTTGAACTCTCCCTGCGCACACCTGCTCTGTGTGTAAATCATTTGTGGGATGATCTGCAGATGTAGGGTTGAGTTTCCTCTGGGACACACACCGCCCCTCCTCATGCAGTCTGAGAAGGGTCCTGGTCACTCCTTTGGGCTAAGGGGCACCCTACTGAGTGCACTGCACTCTAAAGAGAGAGAAGATAGGACTGTGGTCTCAAGGTTGATGTGACTTCTCCAGGGGAAGTCATCTGGCCAGAGAGGTAGGACACAGACTACTCCAAGGCCAGGGCCCACGACGTGTCCTTGGTAAGCTGGTCTCAGTGACTAGTGTCCTGCCTCCCAGTCAAGTGTGGATTTGGGGGACCCAGACCTTCTGAGGCTTAGGGAAGGTGGTGACATACCACACTCCGAGGTGATGCTGGGAGGCAAGGATGCCAGTGCTGACCTCCTGTCCCCGCCTGCAGTGCCCCTGTCCTTGGTGATCCCATACACCCACTTCGATGTTCAGTTTCTGGAGAAATTTGGAGTCACTTTCAGGAGAGAAGGGGAGACCCTCACGCTCAAGTGCACCATGCTGGTGACGCCAGACCTGAAGAGAGTGCAGCCGCGGGCTGAGTGGTACCGGGACGGTGAGTGGCACAATGTCCCTGGGTCCATAACCCACGGCGCTGCCCTGGTCATTTAGGTGGGAATCATCTGTAAAGGTAGGCTTTGGTCATTCTCACACTGACCTTGGGCACCACTCAGGAGGACCCTGAAGAGGATGACAGGAGTGGGAAGCCCACAACCACCTCACTCGCAGGGGTCCTGGGCCACAGAGAGGCCTCCTCACAGTCCATGAAGGGTGGAGGTCAGCTTTGGTTAGTGCTTCGGCTGTGCTGTGTGTGGACCTGATTTCCCTGAGTCCACATGTGACAGTCCTGGAGAGGCCTGAGGGAGCTGCGGGATGAGGCCGAGCTGGATGCGACCCTCAGGCTGCTCTGGAGCCCGTGTCACCCATGGGGTGGGGTGTGGTGGGGACCCCAAGTTCCTATAGAGAGATGGCAAGGAGCCCTGCTAGTGCTTCCTATGGGGGTGAAGCAGCCCTTGGTCTCCGTGTGGCCCAAGCCATCTTCTAGCTGTCCCCCAAGTCTCCCTGGGAGATCAAGGTCTCCAGAACCCATTTAGGTTTCCTTTGACTTACTGGTGACCTCTGAAGCTGACCTTGAATGCTGACCTCTTCCAGACGTGCTGCTGCAGGAGTCCAAGTGGACCAAGATGTTCTTTGGGGAAGGCCAGGCTTCGCTGTCCTTCAGCCACCTAAACAAGGATGACGAGGGACTGTACACCCTCAGGATCGTGTCCCGGGGCGGGGTCAGTGACCATAGTGCCTTCCTGTTCGTCAGAGGTGGGTCCCAAGGCTGGGGCAGGGGCAGAGACCTGGGGGGTTGGGCGAGGCCCCGGGAAGAAGCAATGGTTCCCATACTGCATCCCACTACTGCTCAGGTGAAGGAGGAAGAGTCATAGAGTAAGGCTCCGAGCCACCCCAGAGCTCATGAAGGGCAGGAGGGAGGGCCGGAGGGACGCAGAGAGAGGGAGTGACCCCAACTCCTCTGAGCCCTGAGATCAGGGCCCACAGATCTCAGTGACCCCTGCCCTGGTCCTCACCCAGCCTGAGGACAGTGTTTCCAGTCCCACTCTATCTAGAGAGGAACAAAGTCCACAGTGCACCAGGCTGTGCCAGGCATCATGCTTGTGTTACACATGGGTGTGGCAGCACCTGCCACATACATGCATGTGTATGTGGGCGGGGGCTGCTCCCCTCCTGCCCCGCAGATGCCCTGTTCAGCCCTCACCCCTGTACCCACACAGCCCCTCCATCCCAGCTGGCCAGCTTGTGCTCGTGCCCTGGGCTCTCATCAGGCTGCCCTGCTCTCCATTCTGATCTGCTGCTCATCTTCCCTGGCTTGGGTTTTTATCCACTGCCCCATTGGAAGGCCCAGCACAAGTGATGCCCAATGGGGACGTCAGCCTCATAGGACCCAGTGAGGTCAGGGCTTCCAGGGCTCTGTGGGTAGACAACACCTCACTGCACAGCAAAAATCTCAGCTCACAATATTCCATCAGGATCCCATGGGCCCCATGCTGGCAGCAAGTGTCCCCAGTTCCATGTTAGTGGGAAGAACAGGACATCTTCTGGGGAGCTCAACCCTTCTGGGAGCTCTGGGGGTCTCGAAGGGGCTGCGTGGGGGAACCCCTGGCTCGGGACAAGCAGGAGTTGGCACACACCGCCCTGTGGGGGTGGGGGCAGCCAGGGCCATGGGCATGGCAGGCCAGGTGGAGGGGGCCAAGTTGTCCAGCGACATCGAGGTTGCGACTGATCTGGAAACCGAGTCAGTGAGTCTGCTGTATGATGCAGCACAGGGCGGGGCTTGCCTCCTTCGCACTGTGGAGAGAAGCCCGCCTTCCTGAGAGGCGCAGCTGACCTCTCGCAGGTCAGTGGCCATTGTGCCACCTTGGAGAGGCACATGGGTGTCACAGCCTCCAGCATCTCAGAGTGGGTTCGCTGCCCTGAGTTTGAAAATGCACAGGAGCAAGCTCACCTCTCCTGATGCCCTCCAGCCAGAGCGAGTGGGGCTCAGGCAGGCTGAGGTTGCCGAGGAGCCCAGCACCACTTGCCAAGGACTGTGGCTGTGTCCTTCGCCCCAGATGCTGACCCGCTGGTCACAGGTGCTCCTGGGGCACCCATGGACCTGGAATGCCACGATGCCAACCGGGACTATGTCATCCTGACCTGGAAGCCACCCAATACGACCATGGAGAGCCCGGTCATTGGCTACTTCATCGACCGGTGAGTGACATGGAGCCTCCCGCCATCTGCACCTCTGGGTCCACCCAGGCCCCAGATGAAGCTGCACCACCCACTGGCTTGGCTCCATCATGCTCCTGCTGGGGGCTGGCAAGTGTCGCCTGCTGGGCTGAGGCAGGGCAGCACCTTGGGCTTCTCTTTGCTGAAGTTGTGTGCTACACCCCATCCCGCGCTGGGCCAGGCCTGTGCCATAGGGGCTTTGTGGGCTGCGGTGGTGGCTGGAGAGTGCGAGGAGGAACAGGGCAGCTCCATACCCACAGTCCTGCTTGTCTTCTGTGTGAACTAAGCCTTCCTCCTGGTTCCCAAGTGAAAAACACTGGTGCTTCTGTAATGCCAAGCAGCAACACCGAAACAATACCCAGGAGGCAGATTTATTAACATCTACAGGCACTGATGGGGATCATTCCCAGGATACCAATCCTCCCAGCCCTTCAGATGGCCGAGTAACTGGACAGCTCCCACTGGCAGTTCTGGTCCCTGAGGGGAGGCCCAGTCTCCTCTCTGCCAGGACTTGAGCTCTGGGTCTGAAGCATCCAGAGGCTGTGTTCGCCCAAATTGGCCCTTTCTTCTGAGGCCTTATCATGGAGATTTTGTACATAAATTTCCCAGCTGATGGAGGTAAACTTTCCCTACATCTCCAAAACTTATTTAATATTGGCAAAGAGATTCTCCATGAGAAGCTCTGTGGAGAGAAACAGCTTTCCCTCCTGAGCAGCATGCAGTAGCACCTGGGTATGAGTTCCTGCTCCTCCCAGGCATGGGGCACACAGGATGGTGGCACCAGTCCAGGCCCTGTCATCTGCATAGCAGGTGGGACTTTGCCTAGGTGTGTTTGGGGACCTGTGTTATAAGGACTCGTGGATATCTGTCTAGCTAGCTATCATTTATCAGTATCTCTACATGGATAGAAGATGTAAATTCTAAAGACTCAGGGTAATCAATTTGTCTATTACCTATGTATCTATCTATGCATCTATATATTTCCACATACATACAAACTTTAAATTATAAAATTTCCTAATGGTTCTGTCATCTATCATTATCTATCTCTACCTAGATATAAGGTATAAACTATAAAGATTCTATCCTGCTCAGTCTATTTGTCTGTCTGTCACCGCACATCTGTCTATGTGCTTCTCTGTCTCTGTGTAGACAGCTGCCTACGGAGACACAGTCTTCTGCCATGCACCCCTCTGACTTCCACCTACTCTCCACCTGTGGCTGTGTGTAGGTCTTCCTGAGCAGCTCAGTCTATTGCAGCTCCTCACCCCACTGTCTGCAGGGTCAGAATCCTAGCAGTGTGAACTCCCCAGTGTGGGCATCTCCCCCTGACAGGGACGCATGGGTGACCTGTGCTGCCTTCAGGGAGACCCTGCCACTTTCTCTTTCCCTCTGGTTTTGCCTTCCAAGGTGTGAGGTGGGGACCGACAGCTGGGTGCAGTGCAATGACTCGCCAGTAAAGATCTGCAAGTACCCCGTGACGGGCCTCATTGAGGGTCGGTCCTACCTGTTCCGTGTGAGGGCCATCAACAGTGCAGGTGTCAGCCGGCCCTCCAGGGTCTCTGCTGCCGTGGCTGCCCTGGACCCCACCGATCTCAGGAGGCTGCAAGGTAGGTGTTGGCAGGGGCCCTTGGCGGGTCCCCAGCGGGTGCTGTCCTCCTGTTCTCGACGCCTGTCTGTCCCTCTGGAAGCAGAGATGCTGGGCTGAGGTCCCTGCCCTCCCCTTCCCCTGCCTAGATTCCACCAGGCCAGCTCAGAATCAGGGTTTGCTCACCAGTGATGATATAATTTTAGCCCGTCATGGAGCCTAAAAATCGATGTGCTCTGAACTTTCATTTCACATGGCATGGGTTTCTCAGAAGCTCTGGACCTTGGTGAGGCTCCAGTCACCTGTGTGGTCCTTCAAATCCACTAGAAAGGGCTGAGAAACAAGAGCTAAACAGGACCACGCTGGGGTGCCAGCTCCAATGGCTCCGCGGAGGCTGCAGTCTCAGGTCCTGCAGAGCTGCTCCATGCTTGCCCTGGGCCAGTGAGCAGCACCTTTCCCTCCTCTTCCTCCCCCCCCCCCCGAGACACTTAGGGTGGCAGCTGCACCTCGATCACCTTCTCTCCCACAGCAATCCACTTGGAAGGAGACAAGGAAATCGTGATCTACAAGGATGATCTAGAAGGTACGGGCACATCCACTGCTGAGTGAGTCGAGTGTGGTCAGGGATGCAAGCCACTGCAGGATGGATGCTTTGTGTGTGCAGCTCAGGGCCTGCTGAGTGATGTGAAGGAATAGAAGCAGCGGCCGAAGGGAGTGGTTAGAGCTCCTCAGGGTGAGTAGTGGTCCCCGTTCTCCTGATGGGGCTCGCAGGTTCACTCTTGTTAGTTTTTTGAGACAAAATCCCTATGTTATCCAGGCTGACCTTGACAGTGTGAACATCCTCCTGCTTCACCCTTTGCCTGTCCCCGGCCCCCTGGTCAGCTGGCTCCCTCTCTCCTCTGGGCCTGGGTCTCTGGTGCCCCTTCAGCGCTGACCAGGGTCAGTGTGAATGCACTATGTGGGGTGCTGAGTCTCTGCCCTGCCTGTCACCTGTCTCTCTGCCATTTGGGAGAAACTCTGTCTCCTTGTTGGAAACTCAAAACCTCTTGCCTGGGCGATGCTGCCCTGTGCTCGATGCCAGGCCTGGAGAGTGAAACCCAGCCTTGCTTTGTGCCCTCGTTTCCCTATGCCCATTCAGTCCTCACCCATGGCCAAGGCCCAAGGGAGCAATCAGATATTGTGAAGGGCACAGAGATGTCCCAGGGAGCTGCAAGCCATTTTAATCATGTGCTAATCTAACTGGAAGCTCATAATGTTTTATATCACAATTAAAGAGACCGCAGGTCTAGGAAACCTCAACCCTGTCAGGATCTTCCATAAATTTAAGCAGAAACCTCTGGCAGCAGATGTAGGGCAAGGAAGTGTGCCAGCTGTCTGGATGACGAATGGTCCATCAGTTATCTGCAAAGACTCTCCGTAGCTCCTGGAAGTTCATGCACTGAGTGCTTGGTGCCAGAAAAGGTGCAAAGATTCTGAAGACAGCAAGGGGCCCCAGAAGCTGACCCTGTTTCAGTGCTACACAGGCATAAGGAGAAAGCCCTGGGTGGGTCCCAGAACATAGCTCGCTAACCCTTCCCTTTCCTGGCTCTGTACACCCCCGCTCACTCTGGTAAGGCCTTCCCCTTCCTGCAGAAACTCTGGGAGAGTAGATGCCATCTGAGTAGAAGGGAGGTGAAGGCCAGCAGTGCTGCACTCCGGGGTCCCGGGCCTGGTGGCTAGCATTTACCCCCCATTTCGTTTCTCCTGCAGGCGACATTCAGATCCCAGGCCCCCCGACTAATGTGCACGCCTCAGAGATCAGCAGGACCTACGTGGTCCTCAGCTGGGAGCCCCCTACACCCCGTGGCAAGGAGCCCTTAGTGTATTTCATCGAGAAGGTATCAGCAGGGCACTCACTGCGGGCTGGGGCTGGGCTGGTGAGGGCTGCGATCTTTCATTGCTTACAGATGCTGACTGCTGGGCTGGGGCAGGTGGGCACAGCTGCCACCACAAGCAGCACTCTGGGAAAGATGAATCAGGCTGTGTTCCCTCCCCATGCCCTATGCAAGCAGGCAGCCTCAGCTCTCAGGCCTCCATGTCCTCTGTGGCTGATGAGGGGCTGAGGTGGGCACCTGCACCTTCCACCTGCTCTGAGTGCCCCTGGGAAGTGGGTAGCTCCTGTGTTCAGGGTTTGTGCATCAGTTTCCAGCTGCTGGGTGGTGATCTCGTAGAGCAAGGAGCGGCTCTGGTGGAGTGGCACGGACCAGGAACCAAGCATCATTGCTTGGGGCTATGATGACCTGGACACAGAAAGAAATACAAATGCATCATACAGTGTAACCCAGTACACACTCAGACATGTATGTCACTAACCCAGGGTCATAAATTGTGACTGCACATTTCATCTAGGTTGTCCTGCTACACTGACAAGGCAAGCAGTGATGTTAAGGTGCTGTGGCCACCCACTGTGGGCTGTGGGCTTAAAGTCCCACGGTCGCTGCCCCTGCAGCTGTGTAACACCTAATGCAGCCTGCAGTGCACACAGCCGTGTGCAGTGTTAACACACGGTGCAATCATGCAGCTCCACGTACAGGGGCGGAAGCAGAGGGGTCAGAAGCCAAGGGAGGAGGACTCCGTCTCACTCCGGGCTGCCAGTGGCCAGGAGCCAGGCTGGGTGACCTGGGGGGTGGCCAGAAGGACTGCCGGTAGGGGGTCATCTCAAGCTCTGAGTGACAGCACATCGTGGAAACAAATGGCCAGTGCCGTGTGGAGCATGGCCCAAAAGAGTGGCGCCTAGGGGCTGGGGATATAGCTCAGCGGCATAAGCGCCTGCCTTGCAACCGTGTGGTCATGAGTTCAATCCCTGGTACCGTTAAAAAAAAAAGAGAGAGAGTGGCGCCTTGATTTTCAGGAGGATCCTCCACCTTCCAGCTGCTGTGTCAGGGCCTCAGGCCCTGCCGGGTGAGGACAACTCAGTCACTTGGTGGGACGAGGCACTGCAGGTTCATGCCCAGAAGTGGACCAGCCAGACAGAGTGGTGGGGATACAGCCAGGGCCTCTGCTAGTCCCCTCGGGCAAGGGGACTTGTACCATAGCTCCTCCAGCCAGGCCTGCCCAGGCCGCTGGGGCCACAGCACCAGTCCCTCCTTGCTCCTCACTTGGCTCATGAGTTTTCCCTTCTCTGCTGAGGCGGGGCATGAGGAGACCCCACGACCTTGCTCAGGGTATCGTGTCTTCCGAGAGCGCGGGGTCAGGTGTGTGTTCTCCTGGAAGCTTGGGCTGGGATTCCAAGTTTTCTTTTGGGCTTCTTTTCCCTGCCCTTAGTAGGACTGACATGCAGCCCTGTTTAACCACCACAAAATTATTTTCAAAGAAGGGTTTTATCCCCTGTAGGAAAAAATCATCATGCAGGCATAGTGGTTATCAAGGATATAATGAACTTTCAGTACAGACTGTGTGGAGAAATCAGAGATGTTGCATAGGAGAAAGTTAAAGGCACGAGACACTCCATTTTGAAACAGCCAGTGTTAGTGTGGGCACTGGTATTTATAGTCTTTTCCTCCACAAGACTTTATGTACTTAGTGTATCATAGGTACAACTGGCTCTGTATTATTGGTAACAAAATGACACAATCCCCACTGGATTAGAGAGCTTTGCCCACTAGTTTAAGAAGCCACCTGTTGTTAATATAGTAGCACATGGCCCTGTGTCCCTGGCGAGGTCTGAATGATGCCACTTCTTCACGATCCAGCAGCAGTAGTGTCAGAAGTTTTAGCTGGAATATGAACCATTAAGTGATGGAATTTTACAAATACTGTCACGTTATCTTTATGTGCACTCACTCCCTCTTAGGAAAGCTGCAAGTAATGTATTGATTTACTTAAGTTTCTATTGTTTGCTATACCCATGGAAAATGGGTACCAGTTAAGTTTCCAAGCTAGGGTAATTTCTTGCCTGCATCTTTGAATTGGCATCAGTGGGGAAGCCCCCCAGCACCTGCAGTTCCCATAGGATGTGCAGGTTGTCTTAAGGCTGACCTCCCCACACCCCAGTTTCACCACCCTCTGCTCTGCAGTCTGTGGTCGGCAGCGGCACCTGGCAGCGCGTCAATGCGCAGATGGCCGTGAGGTCCCCGCGCTACGCTGTCTTTGACCTGGCAGATGGGAAGTCGTACGTGTTCCGGGTGCTGTCAGCCAACAAGCATGGCCTGAGCGATCCGTCAGAGATCACATCACCCATCCAGGCACAGGACACCATTGGTGAGTGGCGGCTGGTGTGGCCACGTGGGGACAGGCCGGAAGTGGCCTGCAGGGCTTCTGAGCTGCACCCCCAGCATCCTGGGGGTGGGGGGTGGGTGGCACAGCAGGCCTAACATGTTGATCCCCAGTTCTTGGGGTGTTTTGTGGGTCCTCAACTTTTTACCAAGGCTCCATATTTTGTGAATTCAGGAAATGTGTCAGGGAAGGAGTCCATGGCTGGGTCAGGGTTTGCAGACTCAGCCCAACATTGCAGTTTTTTCCCGTCTGGTTTGAAGATCCCTCTCTGGGGGTCTCGAATGTAAATCACAGAAATCCTCAAGTGGAGGGACTCTGGAGGCCCTGAGGCCTTCAGGTGAGAGTTTTGGGGTGGCCAGTGGCTCTCTTCTCTGTGCTTCCACCTAATGAGGAAGCAGATGTTGGGGTGAACTGGATGAGGCTAGCTGGCCACAGGTTTCAGGTCCCACCAATGGAAGCTCTGAGAAATCCTAGCTAGAGCTGCAGGCTCTCCATGCTGTCTCCCAGCCAGGTCAAACCCTGCATGCTGGCCACCACCTGTACAAGGAGCTGGCTGCGCTGTTCCCTTATGGCCCAGCACGTGTGCCCTGCTATCTCCTCTGAGTTTCACCTGGGCCTCACAACACTGCCTGACTTATTCCCCACCCCTGCAGTGGTCCCTTCTTCGCCCGGCCGTGTGCTGGCCTCCCGGAACACCAAGACTTCCGTAGTTGTGCAGTGGGACCGACCGAAGCACGAGGAGGACCTGCTGGGCTACTACGTGGACTGCTGTGTGGCAGGCACCAACCAGTGGGAGCCGTGCAACCACAAGCCCATCGGATACAACAGGTGCCCGCCCCTGCTGCCTGGGGTCTGTGGGCTGGGTGGGGCAGAGGCTGAGCACAGGGCTCCATGGGGATCCTGAGCTGGGCAGATGGTGGTGGAGCCTGCCTTGGTTGCCCGTGGACAGTCGGTTTGCTCAGTTGACCCCTAGTCTGTGGGACTCTGCTGTGGCAATTTGTCTACTGATGTCAGGAGAATTCCACAGCCTGCATGCTCCTGTGTGATTAGTACGGAGGACTTCTGTGAATAGGAGGGTAAAAAATGCAAGAATGAAGCAAAGGTAGTTATATTTATCCAAATTAATCTTTTGAACTTTTTTGTTTTAAAAATTATTATTTTAATTATTCAAATTTATGGGGTTCAGTGTGCTAATTTGACCCACAAATACAGCTGATGTTACCGTGGTCTTAAACATGTAAAGCATGTTGGTTAGTGTACAACAATCACGCAGTCTGTAGGGCTCTGGATGGTGCTTTGTACACAGGCATTACAGCTCCATGCTGCTTTGATCTTACTCTGGGGCCAGTGCTTTGTCCCCAGCCACACAGGGCCAGATCACTAGCACAGGAAATCTGCAGGGAGTTGGGTGTCTCTGTGTTTGGACTTGACCCTTCCTGCATGGGCCAGGAATACAGAGCTCCAGGTTCTGCCTGTTCTCAACCTCCTAAGAAAGCATGGTTACTTTTCTCTCATTGCTGAGACAAAATATCCGATGCCTAAAATTAAGGAAGGAAAGGTTATTTAGCTAATAGTGTGTGGATATTTCAGTCCATAATCAGCTGGCTCTGAGGTAGGGTGGCATGGTAGAGGGGCAACAGTTGAAGGCAGCAGAAGATAGTAAAAACAAGAGCAAAAGAGCGAGGTGTGGGGGTTGAGGGGACAAAGTTCATTTCCTCCCCTCTACAGTATGCATGCTATCACCCCAAGGGTGGATGTAGTGCTCACACCACCTCCACCTTGGTGTGTTGCATAGGCTCAGGAGGACCCTGGCCCCCTGCTGGGTCACTTAGTTAAACTCCTAAACTTCTCAAGTTGACACAGTGTAACATCCTGGAGTGTAAACAGCCTCCCTAGGGCATGTCTTCTATACCCTAGGATGTGGAGCTTCTGAGTTAGTTAAGTGTCTAAGCTTCTCAAGTTGAAACAATGTATCAACCATTACAACAGGTGAGAAAGGAAGGGGCTGATAAAAGAGAATCAGCACAGTCATCTCTTAGTCCACAGCTGGCAAAGGCAGGGGGAGCATTGGCATCAGAAGTCAATGCTAACACTATTCCTGTGCAGGGATTTTGCAAGTGAGTCAAAAACCTTTGTTTGAGAGCATAGGACAAACAATGACCACTAAGCTTCATTGAGCCCTCACCCTTTACAAGGCAGAGGGCTGAGTCATCCCACCACTCCGTTTCTCACTTAACAGTCAGAGCTGTGCCATGAGGCTGGTCTCATTATCCCTGTTCTGCAGGAGGGGAGACCAAAGTTTAGGGGCAAAGACATGAGACTGAAGGTGCAGTTGGGTGTCAAAGCCTGTGCTCCGGCCTCCTCTACCTTACTTCCGGGTCTTGTGCTCTGCTCTCCAAGGTATAATTTGCTCTCATTCTGCAGTAGGTGTGGTAGTTCCTGGAGGTAAGGAAGTGGATGCCACTTCATAGACATTTGCTCCAGCTGTGACCCTGGATCCTCAGAATAAGTTCTCTGACATTTAATGTGGGTGTCACTGGGCATTGATTGTGTCCCTGACTGATGAATTTGTGACCTGATGTTGAAAGAGAAGGATGTGTGTGAGGTATACTCACGGCACTGAGAAACAAAGTTGGTTTCAGTCCAAGCACTAGTGGAGCCCTCAGAATGCTTTCTCCTCTGCAGGGAAAACTCACCGTGCATGTCCTGCCCTGATGCCGGTTGTGTTTCCTCAGGTTTGTGGTACACGGCTTGACCACCGGCGAGCAGTACATCTTCCGGGTCAAAGCTGTCAACCCCGTGGGCACCAGCGAGAACTCACAGGAGTCTGATGTCATCAAGGTGCAAGCAGCCCTGAGTATGTACCGCATGGCTGCTGTGCCCCAACTTCTCTGGGACGGGGGGATTTCTTCCTGGGTGAACATGGACATGGCCGGAGGAAAGCGTGTGGAGGTTGCTGAACAGAGCACATGTGATTCTGCTGAAACCTCTGGCCCACGGGCTCTCCTCTTAGGAATGCCTGTTTCTAGGGAACTGATAGCTCACTAACCAAGTGCAGATTTGTTTCTGAATGCCCCGCTCACATGAACATCTGTGCTCCAGAGCCAACTTCCTCCTTCCAAAGTGCAACATTAATGGATGCCTTGCAGCCAGTCAGAGATCAGGGAACCGTCGTCTCTTCAGAGATTTCCTATGCTTATGCCACTTCCTTTGTGAGTAGGGAGGTTTAAAATGCTTATTATTTTAATTCAACAAAGGCAGATTTGGAGCCGAGGTCTGGACACAGTCCCTATGAGAGCTGACTAGAGTTTCGAAATTCTCAACAAACACGCATGCACCAGGCACCATCAGGCCCCTCTCCTGCACAAATGTCACATCCTACACGCTCTCAACCCGGCGCTATCTGTGCATTTCCACAAGAGACATTCAGCTCTCTTCATCTGCAGACGTGTTCAGAGCTGAGACCTCCCTCCCACACTGATGTCTGGGATCCTGGAGGGTGAGGTCTGGTAGTGCTCAGTGGGTCAGCTGTGCACTCTGTTGAGGTCCAGATCCCGATGCCCTCTCTGCGCCCCAAGAGTGGCTTCCAAGCTTCCCTGCTTGCCCCTCCTGTCATTCCCGCCAAGTGAAAGCTGAAGGCTTGACTTTCATCTGTAGTGAGAATCCCTCGCTTCCCGCTTACCCTTCCCATAGCAGGGGATGTCAGTCCAGGCTCCTCAGACAGGGAGAGTGGGGTACTCACCTTCTCTGCTGGCTAAGAAAGGTGCTCTCCGTCCAAACTCAGTGCCTGAGCAGGGAAGCAGGCACACAGTCCCACGTTAACTGTGCAGGAAATGCCAGTATCCTGGAGTCCTGCTCTTCCCTTCTGGCGGTGCAGACAGGTGACAAAGGTCCTTGCCTTTCTCTCCCTGAGGGGCTGGGGGTCTGCTTTGTCCCCAGGTTTACATGGCCCAAGCCCACCTGCCTCGGGACTGTTGGGCACCCCGAGAAGGGCAGTGGGTGTGGACAGGCAGCCAAGGTCAAGGGCAGTGCAGAAGGCACAGGGAAGGTGTGCCCAGGGCCATCTCCAGGGACTCTCCTCTGCTCCCTGCTGGCCAGGTGAGGGATGCTGGGTGGGCCCAGGTGACCCTCGTGCTGTGTGTGTCCTTGCAGCTGTCCCTTCCTATCCATATGGAATCACACTTCTGAACTGCGACGGCCACTCCATGACCCTGGGCTGGAAGGTGCCGAAGTTCAGTGGTGGGGCGCCCATCCTGGGCTACTATGTGGACAAGCGCGAGGCGCAGCACAGGAACTGGCACGAGGTCAATGCCTCGCCACTGCAAGACAGGATCCTGACGGTGGGTCTGGCTCACATCTCCACTCCATGTTCTGAGTTCCATGAGGTTGGCACAGGGGACAGGGCAGTGTGCCCAAAGTCAGGCAGCCAGGGCTGGGCTCAAGCTCCTGTGGGGCCCCTGACTGGGGCCCAGCTCCTCCCAGCCCTGCTCTTCTGTGCGCCTCTGGGTGTCGTCTGCAAGCCTCAGTTTCCCTGCCTACCTAGAGCATGATCTTGTCTGCCAGAACATCCATGTACAGTGGAGTGGGGAAGTGTGGAAATCCTGGCTGGAACCCGCCAGGCTGCGGAAAGAGGGTGCTTAGGGGATTCAGTCCGATTGCCTGTGAGGCCCTTCCATGTGTGGCACCTCCCAGACTGCCCTGCATGCTTTCTGCGGGCATCACTGCTTTCCTGTATTAAGGAGACCGATCTATGCAGGTGGAAGGCTTGACCGAAGGCTCCCTGTATGAGTTCAAGATCACTGCCACCAATCTGGCGGGAATTGGGCAGCCCTCAGACCCCAGTGAACTCTTCAAGTGCGAGGCCTGGACAGCGCCAGAGCCTGGTGAGATGCTCCTGTCCTGGACATGGGGAGGAGGGGCTGCACAGGGCAGGCAGTGGGGCTCTGGGGTGTGGGCCCTGCTCTCTCTTACAGTCTGCAGACATCCATTCAAATCAGGCAGATACTTGGGGTGTAGGAGCTGTTGAGGCCAGTGCAGTCTGCTGGGGACACAGCAGCAGCAGGTGGATGGGGTGAGTGTGAGTGTGAGGCAGAGAGCGTGGAAGGGCTGGCAGCCCACAGCACTGCCCGTGTGGATGATGTCCAGCTGCCCCTCTGCATGACAGCGTGTGTCCCAGCCACTTTTCCAAGGAGCAGAGAGCACAGGGCTGAGTTGGGGCCCAGAAAAGGAGCAGGCACTCGACCATGTCCAGGCCACCCAGTGTCATCAGCCTCTGCTTGGGATGTGTCTGTCCAGCCACTCGTAACCCTGGGGTCTCCAGCTCAGAGGCAGAACCCTAGCAGACCCGAGTTTATTCAGGACTCTGTTTAAACTCTTTTCACAGATTCTCGAGGCTGGGCATCAGTTTCTTTGTGCTCAGTCTGTCAGGAACCAAATGCATCCCTACCACACTTATATTTTCAAAAAGAAAAACCTAAAATTTGAAACGAAGAAAAGCAGTTAGACTGTTGTGCAGATATTGTTGCTTTTTCTCCCCGCCCCCCCGCACTCCCCTTCTCTCCCCTTCCTTCCCTCTGCTCTCTTCCTGTCTTCCTTCCTGCCCTCTTCCTTTCCTCGAAGTTCTGATGCAGTCCCTTTGCTCCTGGCACAGCCCTGGGGAGAACCTGTTAGTGTGCAGGACAGGGAAGCTGAGCAGCAGGGGTGCAAGGTGTGACCTGAGGGAGGTGCAGGGATCCTGCTTCTCTCCTGCCACCAGTTGCTCTTGGGGACCTGGTCATCAGCAGACACTGTCAGATGCATGGATATCTTGGGGTGTGGGTTCCAGCCCATGACTTCTCTTCTCTGGTGCCCCTGCTGGCACCCAGAGTTATCTGTGTGCCAAAGGAGGCCCATGCAGGCTGGGCCGTCCTGTCCCCTGCATCGGGCTGGTTCCCCCTCAAGGGACTCTCCATCCGGTGCCATGTGGTGTGAGGAGAGTGTGGGGCCTGGGCTGGGGTCCAGGCTGTGCCCAGGTGCCCGGCTCTTGGTGCCCCCCCAGGGCCCGCCTACGACCTGACATTCTGCGAGGTCCGGGACACGTCGCTGGTCCTGCTGTGGAAGGCACCCGTGTATTCCGGCAGCAGCCCTGTGTCTGGGTATTTCGTGGATTTTAAGGAGGTGGATTCTGGAGAATGGAAGACTGTAAACGAGGCCACAAGTCCAAACCGCTACTTGAAGGTTATTCCTTATTTGTTCTTTGCCCTTTTGTGAGGAAGTGTTTGTGACCTGCGCCTCATCACAGCCCCTGGGGACACTGTCCCAGTGTCACAGAGCATCCTGGAGAGACAGGGGTCCTGAGCCATGCCTGTCTTTCCAGTGCTGCTCCTGCCTGTGGGTTGAGAGCCTGCAGGTGCACACACCTACACAAGACCATGTGTACACACTCACATTATGACTCGTGCTAACCTTCCTGCGAGCATTGCTACTTTACTGTGCAAGGCCCTGTCACCCTTAGCTGTGACAATGATCCTGGGCCCCATAGGCCCTGCGGACACAGGTGCCCTGGCAAAGGTGCCCAGTGCCTAACCAGAGGTCATGGAAGTGGGATGTGGTTAGACCAGGATGCCGCACCCTGGCACAATGTGCCAGGCACGGGCCAGTGAGTGGGCTGAGGGGACAGCACTGGCTGTGGAGCTCTGCTGCCATGAGGACACACACCCGTGTGTCCTGTCCCTAGGTCTGTGATCTGCAGAAAGGTCAGACTTATGTGTTCAGAGTGCGAGCAGTGAACGCCAGTGGACCAGGGAAGCCTTCAGACATGTCGGAGCCAGTGCTTGTGGAGGCCAGGCCAGGTGAGCTGTGCCCACTGCCCTCAGGAGGCAAAGACTGTGGGAAGCTGGGACTTAGGTGTGCACGATGTACAGAGGCCGTGCCACATGTGTGGGGTGTGTGTGTGAGAGCGCTGTGTGGAGAGGTACACGGGCTCCTGGGTCTGTGCAGACTTGGGGCTGACCAAGCTCAGCTGCGTGGTCCTGAGCTCCAGGCCAGGACACACAGTTGTCTGGTCCTTGTGGGGTGGGCAGGGCTGGTTCTTCAGGAGGGTGGTAACTCATACTTCTGCTGATTGCGGATCTGGAAATTATAAAACTGTCGGTGATTTTTCTTGATTACAATGAATTCAAAATCCCAGTGGGTGACACTGAGAAGGGTGGCTCCACTGGAGGGGAGCTGAGCACACAGAACTGCGGTGCCCGGATGGCAGCAGGCCACAGCTCGCAGGCCGTACCCTACTGCTGCTCTGCGCGTGGCCCTCCCTGTGCACATTTGCTTTATTTGTCCCTGCAGGCTCCTCCTGCCTGCCTCTTCTGGTAACTCGAGAGCTCTCAGTTCTACCTCCTAGCAAAGGCCGAGCTGTGTCCCCACTGACCCCTAATTTCCAAGAGGTGACTTCTGACTGGCGCAGTTAGGCTGGGATCCTTCTTGTCTGATCACAGCAAATAAACAGTAAATGCTGTGCTCTGCAGGGACATATCAGTCCCTTTGGGGAAGGGGAGGCTGTGGTGAGGCCCAGCCCTGTGCATGTGGCAAGGGGCTGGACCTCCGAGAGACTGGCATGGTGGGGCTGCGATGCAACCCGGGGTGCTCTAGGGTCTGGGATGCAGGCGTGGAAATGGGGCAGCTCATGCAGCAGTGGTGGTGGGGCACCCAACCTGCCACTCCACGTCTCCGGGCTCCAGGCTCTCTTCTGTGGATCCCGGTGTCGTAGGAGGACGTGATGGAACTGATGATCTGGTGTAAAACGAGCTCTCCACCTGTGCCACTTCCTGGCCAAGAGAAGGATCCAGAGAACACAGTGTTCCTAATGCTTCCTCGCCTTGTTGCTCGGGCAGGCACAAAGGAAATCAGCGCAGGTGTGGACGATGAGGGAAACATCTACCTGAGCTTCGACTGCCAGGAGATGACCGACGCCTCCCAGTTCACGTGGTGCAAATCCTACGAGGAGATTGCGGACGAGGACAGGTTCCGGGTCCACACCGAGGGTGACCGGTGAGTCGCCGTGCACAGGGCACTGCAGGACGTGGCAGCTCCTCGGTGGAGGTGACGAGTGTGTTCCTCCTCTTTCTTTTCAGCTCACGGCTGTACTTTAAGACACCAGACAAAGTGGATGTGGGGACTTACTCTGTGTCCGTGAGTGACACGGAGGGCGTGTCCTCCAGCTTTGTTTTGGATGAAGAAGGTAAATCTCCACGGTACCAGCTTGCTCGGTAGTTTGTTGTGTTCCAGGACTGAGTCCGCAGAGAGCAGGGTGTGTGTTTGTGGGAGGCTGGGAATGGGGCCTGCTTACTGGAGCCCAGATGCCTTCACAGATTACACAAATCCAGAGTGAGTGCTCTCTGACACACACCCCCAGCCAGGCCCCCGGTGAGGATCCAGCTCACTGTTACAGCCAAGTTCTGGTACTTCCGGATGAACTGCTCAATGGAGGGCACCTGGGAAACAGTATCTTTGTACACGAGTCCTCAGAGCTCAGGCAGGACCCACAGTGGAAGGCTCCTCCCATCCTCCCAAGAAGGAGAAACTGAGCAATCAGACAGCTTTTGCTACTGCATGTGAAATACATTTTAGGGCTGTGGCCCGATCCCTGCTCTCCCTAGAGTGTCTATCCAGGAGAAGGATGTGTCTTGGGCAGCATCACAGAGCTGAGTCCACGAGTACATGGGCCACAGTGAAGTGGCACAGGTATGGCTGCTGCATTCTCCAGCACTCTCGTCCAGCAGTTCCCTGCGCTGCCCTGCTCCCTGCAGCTCAGCTTCACCCTCTGTCCTGGAGTACAGCATCAGCCACCCTCAGATCACCTCTAAGGACACTGAGCTCTGAGTCTCCAGGGTCCCCAGGGCATCAGCAAGTCCTTGGATTACCAGTGGGTGCTGGCTGGCCTGCTTGGGGTGGTGGTCAAGGAGACTGGCACAGGGCACAGCCCAGCATCGATACCTCAGCCATTTGTGCTCCGATGACAGAGGGTGGATGGCCCCTCATGGTGCACAGAGGTTTACTGGAGGCTGGGAGTCCATGAGTCTGGTGAGGGCCTCTTCCTACTGTCCATGGCCATGGGCACCAGGCCGAGGAACTCCCTCCTGTGACCATGGTGTCAAGCCAGGACACCTCTCCACACAGAAACTTAAGTGCACGTCCAGCCCGCAGCCTTGGGCCTATGAGGACAGGTGAGCACCGAAGGGGCAGCAGCAGGGGCACTGACGGCCGCCCAGGTCTCAGGTCTGCCCCACATTGGTGACACAGCAAGCTCATCAGCCTGTACATGGTGTGACCAGCACACGGGGCTGGGTAGTTCTCCTTACCAGGGCCCACTGTGTGGCTTCCATGTGGGGAGAGGGGCTTCTCAGTCTGCCCTTGCTGGCCTTGGTGCAGGGGACTTCACACAATGCTCCATGCACAAAGTCACCCTTCCAGAATTCTGAAAGCCGTGCATTTTTCTGTGTTTTTAAGTTCACACACGGTAGTTTTCACTTCAACTTTAAATAGTTGCAGAGCATAAACTAGCTTTTCACTGCTGTGACAGAATACCTGAAACACCAACTTGAAGGAGGGAAGTTGATCTTGGCTCATGGTTCTCAGATTTCAGTTCATGGTTAATTGGCTGCGGTGTTCTGACCGGAAGTGAGGCTGAGCCACAAGGGGAAGGGGCCTGGCAGAGGAGCCTGCTCACCTCATGTGGCCAGGAAGCAGAGAGAGCAAAAGAGGCAGAGAGACAGGGCAGGGCCAGAGTCAGTCCTGTGGCCACACCCCCAGACCCACCCCAAAACTAGGCCCTGCCTCCATGTGCTCGCCACCTCCCACTAACACTGTCAGACTGTGATCTCTTGGGTGGATTAATCCACTGTGGAGCCGAGCACTCATGACCCAGTCACCACCCCAAGCTCCAGCTCTGAACACTGAGCCCTTTGCAGAGGACATTTTAGATCCCAACACAGGATATGACTGCTACCACGTTTTACATTACACATAGAGTTTGACGTATCTGAGCTGGGATTTAGCTCCTTGGATTCATGGTTGTTCCCACCCAAGTCCTGCCCACCAAAGTGGGTTTCACAGTCAGATCCATACCCAAACTGTGTCTGTTCTCAGCATGGGAAGTCTGAGTCAGAGGAATGTGCCCAGATGTACCCTGATGGCTTCATTCTAAATTCTGCTTTAGGAAGGAAGAAGAGAGGAAGGAGGGAGGAAGAAGGAAGGAAAGGAGGAGGGAAGAGGGAGGAGGGAAGAGAAAGGAGAGAGGGAGGAGGGAGGAAGAAGGAAGGAAAGGAGGAGGGAAGAAGGAGGAGGGAGGAGGGGAGAGAAAGGAGAGAGGGAGGAGGGAGGAAGGAGGGAGGAGGAAGGGGGAAGAGGGAAAAGGGAGGAGGAAGGGGGAAGGAGGAGGGAGGAGGGAGGGAAGCCTGGAGGAAGAGCTTGCGGGTTTGGCACACAGTGTTTCCCAGAGCGACCCCACTGCTTGGCCTTTCTTCACACTGATGTGCCATAGCAAGGTTCAGGGTGGAGAGAAGGATGCGTGTTTTTCTTTAATAAATTAAAGAAGGGGATTTAAAGGGGACGCAGTGTCCTGTTGGTACTGCAGCCCCAGCGGGCAGGCTGGTGCGGAGGCCCTGCTCTTGTTTAGCCTTGCTGCCCTCCTCAGCCTTCTGAATGCACAGCTCAGCACCAGTGAAAACATGCTTTTCTTGATTTCAGAACTTGAGCGTTTGATGGCGTTGAGCAACGAGATCAAGAACCCCAGTAAGTGGCCCTCGTGCTGGGGCACGGATGCAAACCCAGGGCAGCTGGGGCGTGGGGAGCTCTCCGGGGCACGGCCTTGGGAAGGAGGCCCTTTTAGACTCTGGCTTGCAGGTGTGCGAGGAGGATTCTGGGTGGCTCGTGGGGCTCCTGGGGACTGGTGTGCCTGCTGCACCAGCCCGACCTCGGTTGCTAAATCACACCATGTCAGGAAAGCAGTCTCTGCCTGTGCTGTAGATCCCGCCTGGACCCAGCACCTGGGGGTGAGGGGCTTTAACCACCACAACAGTGTTAATGAAGACCCTCCTTTTCATTTTTGGCCTCTTTAATCCAATGTGAGACTCCAGAGTTTCACTGTCAAACCCTTTGATAATTAGGACCCCGATATGCAGCTCCCTCCCCAAGGGTGTGTGCATAGCTGGCCTGTGATGTCTTTCTTTGCGCAGCAATTCCTCTGAAGTCAGAATTAGCTTACGAGATCCTTGAAAAGGGCCAGGTTCGCTTCTGGCTGCAGGCTGAGCACTTATCACCAGACGCCGACTTCCGCTTCGTCATTAACGACAGGGAAGTCTCTGACAGCGAGGTGAGCTGGCTGAACCTGGGTCCTTGGGTTGAGGTCTGTTGTGTCAATCCAGTGCTCTGGGTTCCTTCCTGTCACTTTCTGAGATACCGAGTTCGAGGTGCAGAACTTTGATCAGATGAACGGAATCAGTAGATTCTCCTGACATTGGCTTTGCATTAGAGAAGATATGAACAGTCTTTGAAATGTGAACCTGTGGGCATTAAAACTTAACAAACCATGTTTCAAAGATTGGGAGCTTGAGTCTAGGAAAAGGCTCAGGTTCTACGGGGAATGTCCTTAATGAGTCAGTTTCTTTATTGTCTGTAAAGGATATGGAGAATCACAGTCTTTGCTCTGTGGTGAAGGGTGCCACCCAGGGGCCCCAGCCCCGACCACTTCCCAAGGGAGAAACAGGTGAGGATAACCCCACATGTTCAGGACCCTGCAGGCTGCTCCCTTGGTGGGGCGAATGTAGTGTCCAGAGAGAAAGTTCCAGGAGCTGCCGAAAACCACATTATGCTACAATATCAGCACAAGTGCTCGTTCTACTCTTGATTCTGTGGAATGAATCTTACAGTTTTTATGACACTTCCTTTCTGGCTGTCAGATATTGGAAAAGGCATCCACTATGTTTAGATTAACCTCCTCTAAGTATATCATGACAGATGAAGGATAAACTGTGGGGTTCTGTGATGTTCAGGAGGTGGGTGGGGGTCTCTGCAGTCCCCCTCTGCCAAGCGCAGTGCTGTGGACATTTGGCCGGTTACTGAGCCCCGAGGGGCTCCTTCCTCCCCCACTGTGTAAACGTCCACTGGAGGCCTGGGTGGGTCCCTGCAGCCTCAGCCTTGGGCAGCACGATGGCTGATGGCTCAGGTGCCATCGTCAGACAGAAACCCTATGTGGACAGTGACCAAATGATTTTCCAGGTCATCAATACCATGAGGATGGTGACATATTTTAGGATTTAGAGACAGGAAAAAATTGGCTTAAAAGTGGACTTCACAAACCTGATGAGGGAGAGGCTTGGCTCAAGGTCATCGGAGAAATTTTCCCTGTGCAGGATCACGCCTCGAGAGGAAGTGGATTGTGAGGTGCTGCAATTTGCCTCCAGAACATCTGGGGTCACCAATTCTACTGCAATAGGAGCTCGCTCTAACAATGTGGGCTCTGCCGCCTGGCTGGTTCCTGGAAAGTGGCTGGACTAGTTCTTGTCTTTCAGCAGCAGAGCACAGGGAACTTTAAATTGGGAGGCTGGGGTGAGGTCTGAGGGTGGGAAGAGCCTGTCCGTGGAGCCTCGAGCCTCCCATTATCTGTCTGCCCACCACTGGCCGAGAGGCAGTAGCATGTGGGGGAAGGTGCGCCACGGGAAGCCCAGGGGCAGAAGGTGGCCACTCCTGAGCTCCTCAGATGGGGCTGTGTTCTGGGACGTGCTCAGAGATGGGGGTGGCCCCGTGGGTGCTGGAGGGCAGGCATAAGAAAGGGGCGAGGCCATGGCAGCATCCTACAGCTGACTCCTGGTCTGAGAAGCCTTGGCCTCCACTGGGCCAAGATTCTTCCCAGGTCTGGCCCCTCCCCCGGCCCCATCACCCTCACATGCTGGTCCCCCAGCAGTTTGTCCTTTCCTGCCATGTGGGTGACTTCTCAACCATGTGTGCCCCTGTCCTATTGCCTCCCTGAGGCTGGAGACCATGCCCCGCTTGCCTGTGCATTCTCAGTGTCCAGCCAGGAGCTGGAGCTGCTTCTTGATGTGCGGGTCATGAGTGAGGCCAGAGCGGAATTCGTCCTTGGAAAGGAGAGTGGGAAGAGAAGAAGGGAAAAACAAGGAGGTCCCTGGACAGAAGCCACAGCCTGGGCAATGCTGCTGAAGGCAGAGGGAGCGGGCGCCTCAGGGCTGCCTTTCTCCTTGACGACGTGACATTTATTCACTGTTTTCTGCTGGCCAGAGACATGCTCAGCACTATGTGAAGTTGCAGAGGAGTCAGTCGCCGTTCCACTTCCCCTGGGTGGCCAGAGGCTGGCAGGATAGACAGGCCTTGGGGAACACTTGGGGGTGCTCCTGTGTGGGAGATGGGGCTGTGGCCCGGCAACGGTGTCTCAGCTCTAGGGTGTTACTGAAGGCTTCCGCAGGGAGGTGGTGTTCAGGGAAAGGCTGTTGGGCTGTCATCAGGAACACGTGTAGGGGGATGGCACAGCCTCACAATATCCCCCTGTCTTCTGACACACGCTGGTCTGTCCTGTATGGTGCTGGGAGTCCCAGCCCTGCCTCAGGAAGCACCTGCCTCTCTTGTACCGAGGCCTCTGCACCACACTGTGGCTATGGGCCTGAGTGTGGCTGGGAGTCTTCGGGGTTGGGGAACGCTTCACTGTGCTCTCTGTGTGGGGTTTCATCACTGTTCCATGCTGGTTTTCTTGGGTTATTGCAGGTTGGGTGTTCATTCTTGGGTAAGGAGCAGGGTTCGCTGGGAGGTGTCCATGGTGGTACCAGGAGATTCCCCCTCGGAGTCTGGGCTTTGTCATGGGAAGGGACTGGCCCCCCTTTAAGCCCTGGTTCACTCAGAGGTTTAGTTGATGGAGATTCATTTTGTGTTCTCTTATTGGGATTCCTCAGTGGTCACAGTCGACACAGCTGTTAAACATGGAGAGGGAAAGCTGGGAGGTGGGCCACTGTGTAATCCTCTGTCCTTGCTCCCAGACACACAGAATTAAATGTGACAAGTCCACAGGCCTGATTGAGATGGTCATGGATCGATTCACTATTGAAAATGAAGGAAGCTACACAGTGCAGATTCACGATGGCAAAGCCAAAAACCAGTCTTCTCTGATTCTCATTGGAGACGGTATGTTCTGCTGGACATGTTCATGTACCCACTAAAGATGCCTCTAACAAAACTCCATCGAGTGGAGAGAAGCAAGCACATTTCACATCTCCCTATTCTGCATATTCAATTTAGCTTTCAAGGCTATCCTGGAGGAGGCTGAGTTTCAGAGGAAAGAGTTCCTCAGGAAGCAAGGTGAGTGGTCAGCCTGCTGCCCTGCTACCAGCCTTAAATTGGAGGATTTGCCCAACACAGGCTCTGCAGGTCTGAGGCCATCTAAAGTAACCTACTGGGGGAATCTGGCAAGGAATCTCCATTCTTTGCCCCTTGTGTGTTTTGTTCTTACTTTTAACTTAGGAAGCTCCTAATGCTTAATGTTCAAATTCCTGCTATCGCCCTCGTCCAGTCCAGGCTCCATGGCGACTGCTGGCTGGCGCGTCTCTTTTGCACCTGGGGGAGGCTGCTTCGTCCCTCTCTTCTGGGCGCTCCCATGCTTGGCACCTGTCATAACTCCCTGTCATGCACGGTCTGTGCCCACCTCATTAACCAGTAGTATCTCCTGATGCTGGCTGTGCCCTTCCTGGAGCCCAGACATCTTGCTCTGGTCACACCTCACCTTTGGGCTGTAAAGAGGCACCATTTGGATCCTGGGTGCCATCTGAGCCTGCTTTCCAGAATGTGTTTATATAAAAGATAGCAGTAACCTCACCTCCATCAGCTTTGTGCTTTTTTTGTGTTGCGTGAGATTATGGCTTATTAATATAGCACTTGCTTCTATCGTTATTTAAAATAATTTTTTGATATTTAAAAAATACATAGATACATCTGAAGTTCAAATGATACACAAATAAAATAAGCCTTCAGAAAATCACTAGGTCAAACTGTTTTTTCTTCATCTTATTACTATTAATTTTCTCTCTTTCTCTTTCTCTTTCTCTCTGGGGCCTTTACATTGACCTTTATACTGAGCTACATCTCCAGTTCTTCCTAAAATTTTTAATTTGAGACAAGGTCTTGCTAAGTCACTGAATTTTTCAGGCTTGGCTTGAAATTGAGATCTTCTTGCTTCAGCCTCCGAAAGTGGTGGGATTGCAGGTGTGGCCAGCACCCCCACTTTTTCTTACTGTGAAGGTTTTATGTAGTGTGCTAATAAATGTCCACATGACTGAGAAAGGAAACGCAGCCGTTTCATTGTTCTCCTTTCTAAAGAGCAGTAGATATTCCACACCAGGTGAGGCTGATGTTGTCACCAGGAAAATCGGGGCCCCGTGGGTGCTGGTGCTGACCGTGGCAACCAGGGGTGCTCGAGCTCCTGGGATCCACGATCCCACAGCTCTCCTCTGCAGCCCACAATGCATGCATGGACACGTGTGTAACTGTTTGCACACACGAGTGAGCCTGGGCAGGTCTCCGTCGTGGATGTTTGCTTGTTGATGTGACTTCTCTTGCTCCTTTTAAAGTCTTCCCCATGTCCCCCCAGGCCCCCACTTTGCGGAGTATTTGCACTGGGATGTCACAGAAGAGTGCGAAGTCCGTCTTGTGTGTAAGGTGAGGGGTGCCTAGACCCTGTCCTTGTCCCCACTGGGGGCCTGATCAGGTTCCGCCACAGAGCTGCGTGCATGGGTACAGCTTGTGCATGGTGGGCAGAGTGTCTTTTGGCTCCAGAGATTTCTCGTCCTGTGACCTTTGTGCCTATCTCGTCCTGAGGAGGCCACAGGGTGGAGACCTACAACAGGAGATTCAGTTTATGCCTGGGAGAGGTGGCAACTCAAACACTGGCAGCTGGCTGTGAGCCAGCGTGGCGGTGGGAATCCTCCCACCAGGCTGCTCAGGGGACTGTGTCAGGAGGCCAGAGGTGTGCTGTAGGACTAAAGTGCTTTTTAAATGCTATTCCCATACTTCAGTAATAAAACAGGCTTCGATTACTACTACATTGTATTTAAAAACCATTTAGTGTATTGGGCACGACTGTCACCAACTTTGACAACAATCCAGGGCACAGAAAGTCAGGAATGCCCGGTTCTTGTGTCACAGCCACAGACAGCGTAGGTGGCTGGAGGACAGGTAAATGGGCTGTTGCAGCTGAGTATGTCGCACGGGGTGGCAGGATGGTCGAGACAGGTGAAAATTACAGTCCACAGGAAAAATCAGGGGTGAACAAGTGTCAGGCTAGTGGAACAGGTGAGGCCAGACCAGAGGAGGAGCTGGCGTTGTGGGGCTCACGGAGTGGCTTGAAGAGAGAGCAGAGGCCCGGGCAGTACTGGACATGCCCAGGGAGGGCAGGCTCCCCTGAAGCCCATGTGGAGGAGCCAGCCTTCCTCACTGTCCTCCTCCCCGGGTTCATGTTGGTTGCCAATCAGGGCTTCTTGTTCTCGGGTCTCTTTAGTGAGCGCTAGCTCCAGAGCTTCGCTCTTTCATGTGCCCCCACGTTAGCTGTGAATACTTAGGCCCGTTTTCAGCAGTGAGGTTCACGCATCAGTGTTTAATAGGAAGACTCTGGGCAGAAAGGTCTATGGAAGTTCAGTATTGAACTTAGACTTGCTTGCTCAACAAATGCACATCCCACAGAATGTGTGAGTGGAGCAGGCCTGGGTGGCGCCTGGGCTGCCTGCCTGGCCTGTTGGTGCTGGAGGCAGCAACCTTCTCAGATGGACAAGACAGCCTTTTAGGGTCAAGACGCAGGCAGTGCAGAGGCCTGCCCACTGGGTGTCGGCTCGGAGCCCAGCATGGCAGGCCCCTCCGCTTCGCTGTTCCACCCTTTGACTGTGGCACAGGACACAGGGATAAGTGTGGCCCATGGGCAGAGGTGTGCGCGGCCCCCTTGTGGGCTCCCATGGTGTCTCAGCAGTGTGTGACTCTGTCAGTATCTAAATCCCTTAAGTGCCCTGGCTGAAGAGATTTAAAAATCTTTAAACAGACATTTGCATAAGCCCAGTGAAAATTACTTGAGATCTGAGTAGTTTACAGTGTCTACAATGTCACCCTTGTGTTTCTACAATGTCACCTTGTGATCCACGTTCTGTGGATCGTTTCTTTGTGTGGTTTGTTATCTGGTGGTTCTAAGTGGAGAGGCATCCTAAGTACATCCACGGACAAAATAGGGGAGGGAGGCACATGAGTGCAGACTTACATCCTTGAAGAAACCACTGATTGAAAAAGAAGTGTTTAAGAGAACCGCAGTCATAAAGACTAGGAAATCTGTCTTATCTGAGCTCTTCCCAGGGTATGTGGGTGCCTGGAGGGTGGAGGCTGTGGCCCGTGGGGCCCTGGATGTGGCCTGTGGGGCAGTGCTGTGCCCTCAGCGAGGTGATGATGCCACATTCTCAGAACCAATCCCGCCATCTGATCCCAGTCGCTGACCTCACTCTGGAGCCTGTGTGGGATGGGAAGGTGGGACTGTCCAGCTCAGGAGTCCAGTGGGACCATATAGGACCCAGCCCTGGGCTGTTTTCTCTTCCCGCAGGCACACAGGTCAGCACATGGGCCAGTGGCTCCTGTGGTTCAGAGCTCTGCATCCAGGCCGAACCCTGCCTGAGAATGGACTGCAAGGGCTGGCAGGGAAGGCCCAGGACCCTCTCGGCCTCTTCCTCCTGTGTGTGTGGAAGCCCTGGGATGCCAGCCACCAAGCAGCAGCCCTGGGACAGCCTCGTCAACCTCTCAGAGCAGGCTGTGCTATTTATAGGTAGAAAGCAGGTTGGCTGTGTCTTGTCCCTTTGGTGGCATTTCATGCCAACCAGGAGACTTTTATGCCACCTAAGTTCATGGGTCAGAAAGGCGAGACTGGTGTGTCTACCATGCAGGACCCTAGCAGCCTCATTATTTTAGAAGTTGTAGTTTAAGGATGCATTTGCTGCTATCAGGAGTGATAGCTTTTGTACAGCCTCTGTCTGAGGCATCTGTAGTAAAAACTGATCCCCTTTTCAGTTTTAGGCCTGTGATTTAAAATCTGAAAGACTGTTGAGCCAAGGGCTCCACACACTACATTTGCGATTTCTGTCCTGCAGGTTGCAAACACCAAGAAAGAAACCGTTTTCAAATGGCTCAAGGATGATGTCCTATATGAAACAGAGACGCCACCTGACCTGGAGAAGGGGGTCTGTGAGCTGTTCATACCTAAGGTACCTGGCGCCTTGCCAAGCCACAGCGGGTGGGAGTCATTTGTGATGCTTCCAGACTGCAGCCCCAATTCCTCGGTTTGCAAGGAACATATATTATCGGTGCTCACTGCTGTTTGCAGCGCGGTATTGATTTCATGTAAACGTGTGATGTGCTTTATTTGCAGTTGTCCAGGAAGGACCATGGCGAATACAAGGCAACCTTGAAAGACGACAGAGGTCAAGACATATCTATCCTTGAGATAGCTGGCAAAGGTAGAGCGAAAAATTCTTGCCCTCTTTGCCCTGCGATGGGCAGTGTCCCAAGGGGCCGTAGCTGTCTGTCCTGTACCCAGAGCTGTGTGTGTCAGGTGAAATGTCCTCTCAGTCCCTGTCGAGCAGCCAGGCTTTCTCCCCTCACTGGTGGGGTGAACGTGTGGGAAGCACTGGTGATATGACTCAGTGTGTGCTTGGGTTTATGCTGGCACAGTGTTCTTGCCCCTTGTTGAAAACGTGAGTAGCGAGAAACACTTGCTTCATATGCAGTCTTTTGTGGTAATGTGACCATTTCCAAAGAACATCGTAGTTTCCTGCATGGTTCAGTCAGACTTGGGAGATGCTGCTCTCAGGTACAGCTAAGCACCCTAAGGCGCATTTCCCTTCTCCTTCCAGTGTACGAGGACATGATCCTGGCGATGAGTCACGTCTGTGGTGAGTGCATTGCCTCTTGCTTCCTGGGTCTGTCGAGTGTTGACCTCCACTGCTGCTGTGGCAACCGCTCCTCTCAGGAGGACCCTGATGAGCCATGGCTGTATTTGAGCCTGCTCTGGATGGAGGGTGTGATGTCACCTGCATCCGGGTGGGGCCTGTGGGACTCAGAGCTCTGACTGGACAGGGTCCATGTGGATCTGGCCCTAACCCCCCACCTGGCCACTGTCTGATTTGCCTTTGGTTAATTTGGACAATGGCTTTAATCAAAATTATCAGCAGAACCTTTATTCCAAAGGTTAAGTAGCAGTAATGAGTCTTTAAAGCTCTGGCTTTATGTGGTATACACTGCACAACCTTTAGCTTTGTGAAGACCTTCTGTCTCTCCAGTCATCTTACTTGACTATTACCTTGGTAATAATAGCTTACACTTGTGTAGTGCTTTGTGGGAATGGTTACACACCATATTCCTTCAGGCTGTCTAGCAATGCCTAACCCATGCCATCTGTGTGGTAACTAAGATGCAAGGCCCCCCCATGAACTGTGGGGGCCCAACCTGGCACGGTAGGACCCTGCTGGGTGCAGACACGTCGCCTCATCTCTCATGGCTTTTCTGTGAGAGTCCTTTCTGTTCATTCTTCACTGCCTTCTCAAAGTGGCCCAGTCAGTGGCCCTTTTCTGCTTTTGATTAGTCAAAAAGACTTAGTTTAATTCGGCTTCACTCTGGGTGGCATTAGGGTGCTCCCCCCTACTTCATAGGGGTGCAGGCACATGGGAAAGTGCACAGAGCCCTAGGAAGAGTGGCTGTGAACTCATGCCTACAACTCTGATATTCAGGTTCTTAGCTGGGATTTGTGATGCTACATTGTTATTTGCACCATTTGGAGTCTTCCTCTTAAGCCAGGCTGTGAATGGACACAGACTGATTCTCTTGAGAACTTCTGTCTCTGACATACTTGGCAGAGGGCTTTTCAAGCCGCTGTGGAGCAGCATGAATAAATGGGGCAATGGGTGCCAGGGACAGGTATGGTGGACAGACTCCACTGTGCTAGAGTGGGACATGGGTGTCGGTGGACGTGCCCACCCTGTGTATGAACCAGCTCGCCTTGTGTGGGGAGCAGGTGCAGTGGATGTACCTCTCAGGCACATGCTCTGCTTCTCTGAGCCTTCTCCTGGTCCTCCGCAGGTATCTCTGCCTCTCCCCTGAAGATCCTCTGCACGCCAGAGGGAATCCGGCTCCAGTGTTTCATGAAGTACTTCACAGAGGAGATGAAAGTCAACTGGTACCACAAGTAAGTACAAGATCCTCCATGGCTGCGGCCAGCTGTCTTGGCCCTGTCTGTTCCTTGTGGTCTGAGGGACTGTGGCAGCCTCTGCCCAAGCAGGACAGGTGACCATGACTGTGTGGAGGTGTCCAGGAGTCACAGTCCAGGGCCCAGCCACCTGCACTGCACCCCAGTACCTGGACAGCTAAACTGAGTGGCGCCTGAGTCAGAGTCTGACCCCAGCACACAGCCTGCCGTGGGCCATGTGGCTGGCCCCTGCCCTTTGTCCCTCTGTCCCTGTCTTTATCCCAGTCAGGTGTCCAGTGTGTCAATGGTAAGCATACCCAGGGTTCAGCCCCTTAGCAAGGGACCTCCGTGTCCATGCCACTTTTGGATTTTGAAAGAGATACACTCAGTTTGAGGATTTATTTAAAAACATTTGTTAAAATGCAGTGCTAACAGAAAGCATGCTCTGGGCTGGTTTGCTGCTGACCCCTTGTGTTCCACATGTATGCTGTGACTTCTGCTTAGAAGTGTGGAATATTGAGTGTGTGTGCGTGTGTGTCTGTGTGTGTGTGTCTGTATGTGTGTGTGTCTCATGTGTGTGAGCTTTTAACACGTGTCCCATGGCCCCTGTTCTTCTGTTGATGTAGCTGTGCCAGAGAGAGGCTGCCCTGCCTCAGCTGTGTGCTGGGACTGCAGTGTGGAGGTCACATGCACTGTGCTCACCTGTGTGCACGCACAGGGGTGTGGGTGTGTGCTGTGCCCATGCTAGCGCACAGGCCTTGTGTGTCAGACTCTGTGACACGGCTTTCTGAACAGCCTTTGGAAATGCCTTGGGGCCCCACACTAATGCCTATGCTAGGCGCCTGGAAATAGGCTTCAAGCAAGAGGCCAATCGTCATGCTCACAGTCACACAAAAGAGCAGGAGCTGGATGCCACCTCGTCGAACCAATCCCTGCTCTCCTGGGAAGCAGTGGACTTTCTGGGGAGCTTATACACAGACACACAGACAGACAGACAGAGGCCAGGCAACGGGCCTGGCTGAGCGTGGGGCTGGGTCAGGGGAAAGGACACTAGATACAGAGGAAGGGGAGCTGTCCCTGCAGATTTTCAGGTTTGGCATTTCTGTGCTTTCTTTTCTCAGAATGAACATTTCCTTAGCACTTCTGTGACCAGAATGTCATCTTTTGACCTCAGACTGTTCCAAAGCTCTTAGTTGCTTGTGACTCTAGAACAGCATCAAGCTGCACATTAATTAACTTGTGCACATGTGTCCATCACAGAGCAGCCCTGGCCATCTTCCTGAGTCCTCTGTGTGGCTGGGTGTAGAGGCTGCCAGGAGTCTGGCCTGGGTGTAGTCTTTCCAGGTAGGTTTGCCGTGGGCTCAGGCAGCTGGAGGTGGTGGCCAGGCTCCAAGCTGTGGACCCTGCAGTGCTCCACGTCCAGTGACTTGGGGTCCATGGAGTGCAAAGTGAACTATTCAAGATGCAGACATAAGCAAGGAGCATGGTTCTTTGGGGGACCTGCTGGGTGACACAGATCAAGAGGGGCGGGCAATGCCGCTTCCAGACAGGCTGAGCCTCTGCTCCACCTGAGGGAGACAAGAGGAGCGCAGCTGGGTCTTCCAGAACACGGGTTCTGCTCTCTTGCTTGGAGGAGAAATTAACCCATCAGGCAGACTTGCTGGCCCACGACTGCTGCTGTGCTGACCCCTTGCGGTTCCGAAGAACCCGGCCAGGCAAGCAATTTCTTGGTCTTCGTAGGCATAAAATACAACATGCTTCCACCTCAGGCTGTGGGTGCTGCTTTGGCACAGGTCTGCCTGGGCGCTCCACCCCAACCTCCTGGACCCCTGACTCCCAGGGCCGGTGCTGCTGTTTGCCAGGCATTGACTGGGCCCCACTGCCTGTTCTTGGCCCGAAGCGACTTCAGGAAACGAGGGGGATGTGCCCAGGGGGGACGTGGCATCTGTCCCTTTCTCCCTGCAGCCTCACTGTTTCCCTTGTCTTAGTTAACAAGCATCCAAGCCCCCTCCCCCAACCCCTCTGAGGACTCTGCAAGCCCTGCAGTGGCCTCAGATTCACTACAGACCGCCAGTCCTTGGTGTGACAATGACTTTCCACGTATGTCCAGCAGGAGGCGCTGCATGGCTGTATGGTCGCTTATCTAGCTGCCCAGTTTGGACATCATCAGACACTGTGAAGGAGAGGCTGGGGCCAGGACCCATTCCAGAGGCTTCCGGCCACTTGTGTGTCTCCTGCTGCTGGTTTCCCAAAGGACCAAATTCTCTGAGAACCAAGTTCTTGGATGGATGTACAAAGGCTGCAGATGACCAGGAACAGGGCAGTGTCTCCACTGGATGCATGTTCCTGTCATGAGCTGAAATGGCTACTGCTTCCCAGTGCACCCACTGGAGGCCTCAGGGCTGTCGTGTGTCACCATAGCTGAGCAGGCAGAAACTGTCCTGTTGCAGTTTAAGGCTTCTGCTCTTTCCAGCTGCACCCTCGAAGGAACTCGAGTTTCCCTGTCTGTCTCGGCCCCCGTCTCTAATGGCTTCCCATGCAGCACGGGGTCTGTGAGGAGGAACGGGAGGCTGACTGTGAGCTCCCAACAAATTAGGGGGACCTTGTCTCAAGAAACAAGTGAAGAAACAGAGCTGAGGGTGTAGCTCAGTGGAAGAGCATTTTCCTAGCATGCTCAAGGCTCTGGGCTGAGTCCCAGTCCTACAAAAATAAAAGCAGCTCGGTAACTTCCCATCTCTGTCTCTGAACCCTGGCACCCTCACTTTGCTTTCTGTCTCTGAACTTGTCGGCTCTGGCGGCCTCACCCACCCCCATGAAGATAGTTGTCTCGTTTATTTCACGGAGTGTGCTGTCCTGGGAATCTGTCCTGACATCCTGTGCTGTCCTGGGAATCTGTCCGGATGTCCTGGGAATCTGTCCGGATGTCCTGGGGTCAGGGGTTCCTTCCTGCTAGGCCTGGACTTCTCCCTGTGCACCTTTCCATGGGTTCCGGCTGCACACCTGACTCTCGTGTCTATGCAGCCATGCACACAAAGCACCAGTGTCTCTTCCAGTCCTTGATTTTGACTTTCTGGAGCATATGCCAGACTGAAGTTGCTGGATTGTGTCATTGTTCTTTTTTCCATTTTTTAACAGAAGCCACATTTTCACTAAATACCTTACAGAATATTTTGAAGTCTGTTATGTCCTGTCCAATGTATCCTAAGTAACAATGTATTGTTAGAGTATCACTTAGCTGGAGGAGGTTTCAGGTCTAAGTTTCTGATGTGCTTAGTGGATCTATAACAGAAGAATGGGGCAGGGCCTCGGTGAGCTCCAGGGCTCCCACCAAACACACAGCACCTGCAGGGGAATCTGTGCCTGTGAGGAGGCTGTGAACTGAATGTACTCCTGTTTCTTTTAAAAGAGAAGCCAAGATCTCCTCCAGCGAGCACATGCGGGTCGGGGGCAGCGAGGAAATGGCCTGGCTGCAGATCTGTGAGCCCACGGAGAAGGACAAGGGCAAGTACACCTTTGAGATTTTTGACGGCAAAGACAACCATCATCGCTCCCTGGACCTGTCAGGACAAGGTAAGGGAAGGATGTGTCCCGTCTTCTGTTCGGGAGTTTCCAGACCCATTTAGCTGTCGGTGGGTGGAGAAGCAGCAGATGCCCCTTCTGGTTTTATGATGTTCTCTCAGAGGAAACTGGAAAACTGGTGTGTTTCTTTGGGTCCTTGTCGATTTCCCTGGGGATCGGCTGAGGGAACGGGCAACGCCCAGCACATCCAAGCTGTCACTCACACAGGAAATATTTCCTTCCAGCTTTTGATGAGGCATTCGAAGAATTCCAGCGCCTCAAGTAAGTGCTGTGTGTTTGGCTGTTACCCCTGTGTTGGGGCCTGGTGGCATGGAGTCATCTGGGTGATGTGGGGGAACATCTGTGAAGGCCAGACCACCCCTCACATGTGCCATTCCTGGGGTGCTGCAGCGATTATAGTGATTCAGTACTGAGGCCAACTTTCTGCTGCCCTGGAAAGGAGTGTGCTCCCAAAGTGGCTGTCTAGAGGGGCCATGAGCCAGGGCACCTCAGAGGACCCAACAATAGGTTTCTGGGACCAGACCATACAGCGGCTTTTGAAAGAATGACTTGGGGCTGCTTACTGTGTGTCTGCGCTTTGGAACAGGCCTTGGGTATTCCCTGGTGTTCTTTATGGAGGGTGGATGGTGCGATAAATCAAATCTGACAGTGCAAAACAGAACAACTCCCAAGGTCTCCAGGGCTGCCTGGCGAATTTGGTGAAAACAATTGAACGTTTCCCACCTCTGTGTCTGCCCGCCGACCTTGGGTCAGTGCTCCCCACCGGAGGTGGGCTATATCGGGAGGGGACACCACTGGCACTCATATGTGCAGACTGCCTTTCCCCACTTTCCAGAGTGTGATAAAAACTTTGAAAGCAGTGGCCCAGGTCTGAACACGGAGCTTTTCTTGTCTTTGCTTCCTAGATAGCACAGTTAATGAGGCTTTAGGTAGCATCAGTGGTTGCACTGGCTGTCCTAAGAAATCCAGGGGTAGGTGGGTGTGCGTGGAGTGTTTGTGAGCACCAAGCCATTTTGCATGAACGACTGTGTGTCTGTGGGTTCCGGTGTCCTGGGCGGTCCTGGGGCTGCCCCACTGGGGTGCCATTGGGAGCCCTGGGTGGGCCAGCTCCTCCTCGCTCGCTGTGGCACCCCTGTAGTGGTGTGGCCTCCTTGGGCAGCAGCATCTCAGAGCTTCCTTCTCTCTCTTCTCCTCCCTGTGCCTTCCAGGGCTGCTGCATTTGCAGAGAAGAGTAAGTGTGCACTGGGGTGAGGGATGGGTGCAGTCCTGGGGGTGAAGGACCCTGTGCTACGGGGAGGGGCGTTGATTTGGGTGTCAGACCCTGACCTGCAGACTCACGTCCTCCATGCTGGCCGGGCCCTAGCCTTTCCTGTCCTCATAGCTGTGCCTGCCCATCCTTCCCTGCCCCAGAGCCCTGAAGAAATGCAGTCCCCTCCGTCCTGGGAAGCCCTGCCCTGCCCTGGCACCACTGTTCCTGCCTGTGTTGTGGTTGTTGGCCTGCTTTCTCCCTCCCCAAGGGTACTCTCTTCTCAGGGTCCCTCCCAGTCTTGTTTCTGCTGCTCTGGGTGCCAAGGGCTGCTCTGCCCACGGGCGTGATGCTCTTGTGCTTCTCACCCTCTTTCCCACTCCAGATCGTGGCAAAGTGATTGGTGGCTTACCTGACGTGGTGACCATCATGGAGGGCAAGGTGAGCAGTGTGGGCAGGGCATGTGGAGCTGGGAGGGGGCAGTGATGGCTGGGACTAGGCACATGGCCTGAACACTACTTCTGGGTCGCTTAGCCAGAGGGGGATTCCCCGTGTCCTGCTTGCCCTGGGCTACCTTTGATAATTCTGCAAGACCACAGGATAGAGTTCCGAGTATCTGGGGGCAGTGTGCAGTGCTGCCCAGCCTGCTCTCGGCCTGGGCATCTGGAATCCTTAGGGATCTCAGTATGACTCAGGCACCCAGTGTGGTGTCTCAGCCCCTTGGGGGGTACAGGGTCCCAGGCCACCTGGATCTGGGCCTGGAACAAGGAAGTGGTGCCTCCCCAGTCTATTTGTGAGGGTGTCGGCCAGTGGCTTTGAAGCTGAACAATCACAGCCTTTACAAAATGAAAGGAAAAACCTCAGTGCTATGAAGGAATGCTGGGTGGGGGGTCTCACTTCATCAATAGCTGAGGGCAGGTCTGCTCCAGCGGCTCAGTGTCATGGGACACAGACTGGGGGGGTGGGCTTATCAGGGGCACAGCCCTTCCCGTGGCAGTGCCCGTGATGGTACTGATCTGCATGTCACAAAAGATGGAACGGAGAGTTGGCAGCCAGGGGTTTTAGCCAAAGGTCAGGCGTCCACTGCCCATGTCCAGTGGACCAGCTTGAGGCAAAATGTTCTCTGGGTTCACTGGGCTGGGAAAACTAAGTCCAGGGGAGATTTGTGTGCAGGCTACATGCACCCTCTTGGAACCCAGCGAGCTACCAGGGCAGAAACCAGAATGAGCTGACCTGATCCCCCTGCTCAGTCTCCTGAGTGCCCCAAGACCCTGCCCCTCTGCCCACCGCCCTTCGTGCCTGCAGCTAGGCTAGGAGGGTTTGCTGAATGCCTCAGTGATGGCTGGTGTCCGTCAGTGTGGTAAGCTTTCCTTGTCTCCTTCCCTCCCTGTCTTCCCCCGACGAAGACCTTGAACCTGACCTGCACAGTGTTTGGGAACCCGGACCCCGAGGTGGTGTGGTTCAAGAATGACAAGGACATCGAGCTGAGCGAGCACTTCTCCGTGAAGGTGGAGCAGGCCAAGTATGTTAGCCTGACCATCACAAAGGTGACCTCGGAGGACTCCGGCAAGTACAGCATCCACGTGCGGAACAAGTATGGCGGGGAGAAGATCGATGTCACCGTCAGCGTGTACAAACACGGGGAGAAGATCCCTGACATAGTGCCGCCTCAGCAGGCCAAGCCCAAGCTCATTCCGGCCTCCACCTCAGCCTCAGCCGAGTAGGGGCCACAGCGGCCTGGGGCCTGGGAGCTGCATGCTGCGTGTGGGCACCAGGACCCAGGGCTCCACCTGTGGGCAGGCAGTGGCCACCTTAGGCTTCTGGGTTTTGCACGTGGTGACTGTTAGTTTGCATCTGTCCGAGGAACTGCTGACCCCCTCAGGGAGAAGCAGCTTGTGTGGACAGGGGGTGAAGGGAGTCAGCTGGGAACACGGCTCTGCAGGAAGCGATGCTGGCCATGTTGTCCTGTGGTGGCTTTGGCCCTTGGGACCCAGTGGCTCTGAAGCCCAAGAGGTCGGGGAGGCCGGTGTTAGCTGGTTACTCTGTTTTCTCTTGCTTTAGACAAATAAAGCTTCGAAAGACTCCATGCTGTGGTTTTCCTGTCCCAAGTGCTATCCAGGCCCACCTCCTCTCCCTGGCCTTGGGCTATGACCTTCACAGCGGGGCAGAAAGAGGTGCCCTAGCCCAGAGCCAGCCTGGTGCCACGAGCCTTGCAGAGTGCCTGTCTGTGGGCTGGATGACAGGGCTACTGACCTGGGGTGGGGCAGGGGCCCCATGACAGCACAAACCCCAAGGAGAGAGCATCAGTGTGAGGCTGAGAAAAGTCCCTTGCACCCCCAGGTTAGGGACCTTTGAACAGGAAAATAAGCACACAGGGGTGACATGGGGACAAACTCCCAACTGCTAGATGGTCAGTATGCGTTTGTGTTCTTTAAAACTGAAGAAGGAATTTTAGGAACAATGGAGATGAAGAGCAGAATATACTTACTGAGAGAAAGAAAGCTTTTATCTGTGAGAGACAGAAGGGGGCCCAAGTGGGTTGCCAAAGACTCTGTCTTTTGGACTTTTTTAGAGCAAAACCACAAAGTGAGTGGGGTCCAAGATGGGGAAACCTGGGAACTTCCAAGGTGAGAATGAGGTGGGACAGAACTGTGGTCAACCAATCAGATTAATGGTTCAGGTAAAACTGACCAAATCCGGACACATGGGGAAGCCAGTCATGCAGCAAGCAGGCACACTTAAGAGTAGCGCCTCCTTTGGTAGGGAGCTGGGATGGTGACTCCTGGCTTCCTCAAGGTGACCCACACTCATTTAAAATACCAATACTTGGGGTGCAGTTGCCTTCATTTTGTGTTTTGTCTTGAGACCTGAGGCACCTGTCTCCTCCAAGGTCACACGGCATCTTATTCTCTGTGCCTGACCCCTGAGGGCCCAGCCCTGTCTGGCTGCCTATAATAATTGTCCTTAACTCAGCTGCCTGTAAGGATGGCTCTGTCCTGGGTTAGTGTGCACTTAACCAGCAAGGGTTTCTGTGTAGAGGAAACACTTGGGTGGGGAGATCCCTGCAGCAGCCGTGGGAGGTGGGAAACAAAGTCTTGGCTGCCTGCGTCTGGCCTTCTCTAGGACAATACCCTATCTCTGAACTTTTCCTTTCTCTTTTGGAAATGCTGGCATAAAAAGCCCACCTCACATGTTACTTTAATGGTTCCTTTACAGCAGACAAAGCTGTAGTTCAGAACACTTTACTTCTTGGCCATGGAAACTGATCCAGGTTTCAGGCTGTTCTGTTGTTTTGTCGAGGTGATGGTATTTAAGCTGCAGCTTAAGGGTCCTGGTAGGAGGACCAGCGGAGCAGCCTCCCTCGGGGACAGCCAGCACTTCCCTAGTGTCCTCCCTGTCCTGTCATGCAGATGGGCTCGGTGGCTTGCTTTTCTGTGTGGGGTGACACTGATCCTGAGAATGTCCCTGGCCAGTTGGGTGCAGGCAGATGTTTCTGTACTTAATCTTTTTTGTGTTCAACAGAGTCCAATTACCTGCCTGTGTATTTGGTCATTTTTGTTTAGAAATTGTGGTTTGCAGGAGAGAATTAAGATGGCTGTGGATTTATTGACATATTTTAAAAATAGACTTCCTAGAGAGCAGTTTCAGGTTCATAGCAAAGTAAGTAGAAAGTACAGAAACCCTCCATACACCCTGCCAGGACTCACAGTTCTCCCTGAATTTAAAATCCCCACAGAGCAGGGGTCTGTCACAGATGCTGGCCCCACATGGATGCGTCCCAGGCACCCAGTCTGCAGAGAACACCAGGACTTATCCTCGGCACTGGCCATCCTGTGGGGTGCAGTCCACTTCCTGTTACTACAGGGGGCTTAGGAAGAAAAGAGGTTTGTTTTACCCAGTTCTGGAGGCTGAAGGACAGGGCCTTGGTGTCAGTTCTGGACAGGGTCTCCTGCCCAAGGAGGATTTCAGCACAGTGGATATGTGTGATGAGGGAGAGTCACAGCAGCCTTCAGGAGCCCTGCAGAGTACAGATCACGGGTCGGCCATTGGGTGAGATGTGCCCCAATTCCCTTCAAGGCCACAAGGTTCAGTGACCTGAACCCCTCCCACAAGACCATGTGGGATCTCACTGCTTCCTAACACTGGCACACTAGAAACCATGCAAGTCATGCAGCTTGCCACACAAGCTTCCGACAGGTAAACCCTTGGGGACCAGTTGGAACCTTGCCCAAGGTGAGCACTGGTTAGGACAGGTGCACACTGACCTGACAGTTGTCTCTACTGTCCGAGCACAGCCTGCAGAGTGGCTTCATTGATGTAAAAGCCCTGGCCCCTGTCGTTAGCAACCTCCAATCTTCTTAGTGTGGCATCATTTTTACTCACAAAGTTTAAACAGTTAAGCTTTTTATTTCTTAGTAATTTTAGATACAGAGGGATCTGTGAAGCCCTGGAGAGCCTGCCCCCACTCTCCTTTTGGAAAGGTAATAAAAGGCAGACAAATACAGGGCACTTCACCCTTGGTGCAGTTGTTACCAGTGAGGGCTGACCATGGTCACCCAGCTCCAGAAGGGGTTTTAGTCACTGATGTCCCATGTGTGCCCCAGGACAACAACTGTGTTTGGTTGTCCCTATCCCTTCTCTGGTCTGCGACCTGTCCTGGCTTTCTGATGCCCGTGACGTGGCCAGATGAGCTGTGGGCATCGCTTCAGCCCAGTGCGGGTGCACTGGCTCATGAGGAGGCTGAGGGAAGTGCTGTGTTCCATCAATGCAGCCTGGCGGCCACGTGTCCTCTCAGGTCAGCCCCTGGCACTTGCTGAGGTGGGGTCTGTGGCATCTGCCCCGGGAGCCACTGTGTTCCTGTTCTGTTCTGTCCTGAGGGACGGAGTCTCTGGCCTGGCCCTCACTGGAGGGAGATGTGGTGTCAAACTCTTCCTCCTGCTGGAGGCTAGGGCATCTACACGTGTGCGTGTGATGTGGGTCTCTCCTCCTCTGCTTATTTGCTCGCTCAGTCACTGGTTCCTGTCTGGGCTGTGACCGGTACTCCTGCTGTTTTGCTGCTTCTCTGAGTACCGCAGAGGCCACCTGCAGAGCTTCCCCTCCTGCCTCAAAGCCTGGGCTCCCTGCTTCCTGTGCCTGGAGAGCAGTATTTGGGCAGGTGTCCTCACCCTGCTGTACTTGTGCATGGGGTGTCACCTGAGACAGGATGCTCTGGGGAGAGCATGGAGTGCTCAGGGCCCAGCCAAGGGCTCTGCAAGCCTGGGTTCACCCTCTCAGCCGAGGTGCTCTCTGTTCTTACATTGCTTTCTGGGGCTGGTACAGGCAGCAGAGAGTGAGGTCAAGGGCAGGAGGAGAGACATGTCAGAACCCCGGCTGGGGCCTGGCCTGGCCTGGGCTGGCCCCGGGAGCGGCCTCCTCCTCTGCAGTGTGTACCTTGCCCACACCCATGAGGGAGACACCAGAGGAGGGAAATTGGACCTCACTGAGGTTCTGAGTGCCTGAAAGAGCAGTGAGCTTGTTCTAGGAAGCCCCAAAATCTGCTGCACACATGGGACACACAGTGCTTCTTCCCATGGCACCTGAGCCATGGGTTCTGTGTGCAGGACAAGTGGCCTTTTTGTCTCCATGATACAGTCATCACCCCGGGCTCATGCTGGTGCTTGACACCCAGCCTCACCTGGCTTGTCCCGTCCACAGGCAGTCCCTGGAATCCAGTTCCAGGCTGGGGTCAATGCCCTGTCCAGCAGTCTCCTTTTTACTCTTCTCAAAGGTGGTCCTTCCTCGCCTCAGTTCACCGATGACACTGAGGATCATGGGCCATTTGTCACCCAGTCCGCTCCTCATTTTTGGATTTGACCTTTGAACTGTGCATCCTAGGCTCCTCCTGCGGGGTGACTGCTCTGTCCCCCCCCCGGGGTGTTCACACTCTTACCCTCCCTGCAGATACCAGCTGTTCTATTGTGACTCCTCTCACCCTGATGAGCATGCAGCGACCTCTGTCCTCAGCCAGTCCTGGCCACTGTGTTTGGAGCAGGACAGTGACGTTTGGTCTCTCCTGTGCCCCAGCAGCAGTGCAGTGTGGGTGGATTTGCCACTTTCCTAGCTCCAGGAGGAGTCCTGGCCTCTTTGTGCCCTACGTGCCCTGCGCCCTGGTTACTTCTCCTCCAGTGCCTGCAACAGCTCAGGGCGCGGTAAGGACCGCTCTGCTGGCCTCCTGTGACTAATGTCATCCTGGAAGGGCACAGTGCTGTACCGGGGGTCCTGTCTGGGCTATGAAATGCTGGGGTGGCAGGGGTTCTGCTCAGGATACCAGTGTCCAGGCTGCCCCCCACCTAATCCCTGAGTATTTTTTTCTAGGAAATATTTTAACTCAGGTCCCTCCGTGCGAGCTGTGCAGAGTCCAAGAGCGTGGAGTCCACAAAGCAGGACTGGCTACTCCAACCCTGTCTCTCTGAGCGGGGCTCTTGTCCTTCTGCACATTTCCTTTGGGCTTGTCTTCTGGTCACGAACATGGGGTCCCTTTTTAAGGCCTCTGTAGTATTCTGCCAAGTTTCTGTGGTGAGTCCCAGGGCCAGCCTGGAATGTGGGGATGCAAGGAATCAAACACCGACACAGCACCCGGGAAAATGGCGCTGTCAAGCCCATGCTACAGGGTCCAGAAGGTCGAGGAGACTCCTGCTGCGCTGTGCTCTCGAAGGGCAGGCACCACTCGCCCTGAGGCTGTGCCTCCTGAAAGCATTGGGGACCGCCCACCTCCATTTGCAGGAAGGGCTCCTGAAGCCAGTTCAGTCCGGTTCAGTCCACTCTCAGCCTGGCTTCCAGGCTGGAAGATGGGGCTCGCTCTGTTCTGGGAGAGGTGCCATTTGTTCCCCCACCAGGGTTCACCCTCCCGAACGCTGAAGCCAGTAAGCGGCCCTCTTTGCTGGGAAGTCGCTGCTTTCTCGGGTTACTGCTGCATTCCCAGCCTTGGACAGGAGGGGGCGCCGGGTGGAGCCAGGCTGCTCGCTGCTGCCAGGCCCGGGTGACAGATGTATTCTCAGGCAGCTGTGCATTTTTCGGAGTATTTTTTTCTAGGTAATATTTTAAC